ATCGGCCAGGTGGCATCATTGATGGACTCGGGGGTGGCAGCGGTGGTGACGTTGGCCCAGGATCTAGCATTGTTTCGTTCTACTGTGCATGGGGTCGCTATGAGTCGGTTCCGACTCGATGGCACCTGACAACAACAACAACCATTTATTTGTCAGTTTGTTGTACTGTGGTGGCTTGCGTGTTGCTATGATTCTGGAAGCAACACGCAGGCCACCACAGTACAACAAACTGACAAATAAATGGTAGATGGTGATAATAGCTAGCATTTAATATTTTGTGTATATTTACATATATCTATTCATTTTAATCATAGAATAAATCTTAAGTGATATATTGTTGTTACCTAATGTTAACATTGATGAAACTGAAGCCCAGAAAGGTTAAGCCTATGATTTATATAATGCATTTAGCACAGTCTCTAGGACATAGTGTCTGCTATATTAGCTTTTTTGTTGTTGTTCAAATGAGTGGTCATTTTAAAGTTATCAAAAGGATTTTTTCAATAACAGATATATGGCATGGCATTCAAAGCAGTTTTTTCTTGTTTCTTCTTGTCTCCATAGCTCTTGGTGCTGGACAGGCATCTTTGTTTGGGAACAATCAGCCCAAGATCGGAGGGCCCCTGGGTACAGGAGCCTTTGGGGGCCCTGGATTTAATACTACAACAGCCACTTTGGGCTTTGGAGCCCCTCAGGTTCCAGTAGGTGAGTGTCAGTAATTTTCAGACTTTGCTCAGTTTATTTCTTGCTAATACTTACTGACCTTTTCCTATCCCGCCTTTGTTACTCCTCATCCACGTAATACATACGAGGGATTTCAAAAAGTTCATGGAAAAATGGATTTAAATGACAATAGAATTTTTCCACAAACTTTTTGAAGCACCCTAATACATTCCTGTCATTAACAGTTGTAAAATTTAAAAGGGGTTTATAATGGGCTCCCTTCTTCTGGAGTGTCAGGCATACTCCTCCAAAGAAACTACTTTTGTTACTATTTTTCATTCATATTCCGTATAATTAGGTCTCTATAAACGATGTGCTTTGTTTTTTTTTAATGTTTTGTGAATTATGTGATAGTTTACATGGGAGAACATTAGCTTTATATTCATCCTATTATATGTTGTTTCACTGCCATGGTTATAGTCCCCTCCATGCATCATCAACCAACCAGAGGGTATCCCTTGCAAGCCTGCCCCCCTGGTCGTCAGCACACAGACCCTCTCCCTGTCTGGGTCTAAAGTCCCCAGCTGCTCCATCTCTCTACATCATCGTCTCTGCCTGCATCTCTGGTGTCACTGCTTCTCTGGGTTGGGTCCTGCTCTGCGCTCTTCTCCCTTGATGGTCCCAGGGACCTCCGCTCCTAGACTGCCATGTCAGTCACTCCCCTCCTTGCTACAAAACGTCTACCTTTACATTTCCAACCCTCACAATTAGTTCTGATAACAATTATTCACTATTGTATCATAAGAGTCCTATCTGCATCTCCTTTTATCAGCCCCGCCCAGACAGACTGGATACTACTCAGTGGAGATTCTGGTAGCGTAGTGGTTACGAATCGGGCTGCGAACCTTAAGGTCAGCGGTTCGAAACTACCAGCTGCTCCGCGGGAGAAAGATGAGGCTTTCTACTCTCGTAAAGATTTACACCCTTGGAAACCCTATACAGGGTCGCTATGGATCGGAACCGACTCGATGGCACATAACAACAACAACAACAGTGGAGATTCTTCCTTCCTCCACACCCTCTTGAAAGCTTGTAAGGCAGTCACTTCTTGCCTTTGTATAAATGATGTGCTTTTATGAGGTGGCTTCAAAAGTTCTAGGAAATTTTTCATTATCTTTTAATTCAATTTTTCCATGGATTTTTGAAGTCCTCTTGTGTTGCTGTGCTTTGCTGTATAAAGTATACAATAAATTTAGCTTGTTATAGAAGGTGAGAATTTAACTCACTTATTGCCCTCTATCTTAATTTATTTCTACCAATATAACTATTTACTAAATCCACTAAACTTAGTTTTACCTATTGAAATGTTTTTCAAACTTGATTCAGATTTTCCCAGTTTTTGCTGTATTTGCCAATCATCTTATTGTCTACTTGTAACTTAAGAAAATTAACTTATTTTTTATTTAAGATATTTTTAAAGAAAACTGTTTTCTACTGGGAATGGAAATCTATCACTTGGTATAAGTAGAGTAACTGTAAGGTAGACTATGGTTGGGTGGCTAAGTAGATAGCCAGGTAGGTAAATGTCAGTCTCTGTACTATTCAGTTTATCTTCTGTATTACCATGATACATGTTCCACATTTTGAGAAACGTTTGTAACTTTATTTCGTGTATTAGTGGTGGCAGTTTGTGGCATCCGTTCCAACTTATAGGAACCTTGCATAGAGTTTCTCAGGCTGTAAATCTTTATGGGAGCAGAAAACCTCTTCTTTCACCCACAGAACAGCTATTAGTTTCTACTGCTGACCTTGAGGTTAGCAGCCAACTCATAACCAGTATGCTACCAGAGCTCCTTTTAATGTGTGTGGTGGTGGTTATGTGCCGTGGAGTCAGTTCCGACTCATAGCGACCCTGTAGAGAGTTTCCAAGGCTGTAAATTTTTACAGGAGCAAAAAGCCTCATCTTTCTCCCGCAGGAACAGCTGGTAGTTTCAAACTGCTGACTTTAAGGTTCACAGCCCGATTCGTAACACTATGCTACCAGAGCATCTTTTAATGTGTAGTGTGGTTGTTATGTGCTATGCAGTTGGTTCCAACTCCTAGTGACCCTGTACAGGGTTTCCGAGGCTGTAAATCTTTAAGGGAGCAGAAAGCCTCATCTTTCTCCCGCGGAAGAGCTGGTAGTTTCGAACTGCTGACCGTGAGATTAGCAGCTCAATTCATAACCACTACGCTGCCAGAGCTCCTTTAATGTGTGTAGTTAATCCAAAAACCCAGCTCAAACCTGTGGTGTTGTTTCAATGAATTCCAACTCATAGAACTGCTGCCCTATAAGGTTTCCAAGGTGATAACCTTTGTAGAGTTGTCCTGGTGTGGCATTATAGGATAAGCTTTTAAATGAAAGGTTGGTTTGAATTACAATGTATAGGTTGAGATTCATGGGCACTATGAGGTAGAACCAACTCAAGTAACCAACTCAGCGGCACTTAACAACAATAACAATTATTACAAAAGCAGATTGTCACATCTTTACCCATCAGAACAGCTGGTGAGTTTGAACTGCCAACTCTTTTGTTAGTAGCCACCAAGACTCCTATGTGCCTATATGTTTTTTTCTTACTAATCTTTTAGGAGATATTATTTCTTGATTCTCTTTTGTCAAGAGAGGAAATTAGTGCCACTTTGTGCCTTTTGTACCCTTCTCTTTCTCTCATTTCTTTGTCATCTCTGTTTTTATGTTGATAAATTTTAGTTCCCATAACCGCCTTCTATTAATCTCTATTAACCTTTCTAGACTATTCCAAATTCTCCTTTTCCTCAAATATAACTCATTCTTTGATATCTTAGACCTTCTTCTGCTTTGTGAACTCTTGATTATTCTTTTTATAGACCTTCAGAATTGCTCCTAGATATTCCCCTCAATTCTCTGTGGGAACTGCTATGTCCTGGACATAGGGTTTACCTTTTTAGGGTTGACCTGAATTTTCTGGACTGTATTTTCAAGTAAAGTGTATATGAAAGGTATTTGCAGGTCTGAAGATAATCTCTAGTCATTTCTTAACTTTCATGTCACAGAATTCTGATGTGAGAATAATTACTCTTAAAAAACTTTGACTCTGTTCCTTTTTGCATTAGTGATTGCTGATGAAAGCTTAATGCCTTTCCCATTCTTGTTTCTTTGAAGGTATACCCTATTTCTCTCCCCATCTCCTAAAGAATTTAGGTCTGTCTATCTTGAATTTTCACTGATCCGCATTAATTGTTTCTGTCTTAATGCTGTATTTTTCAGCAGTATACATGTTCTTATTCTAACTCCCCTTTTTGTTCTTTTTCTGTCAAACCAGTAGTTCTTATATAAAATGATTTTACATAAACTTCTATCACTCCCCCTCTTGCTGGGGACATTTGTCAATATGTTGGAATGTTTTTGTGTACCAAACTGGGACGGTTGAGCCTTGAGGAGGTAAAGTCCTGGAAAGTTGCAAAAACTTTGTATACTATACAGAACAGCTCCTCAGAAAGAGTTGACTTGTAATGTCAGTGGTTAATATTGACGTGTTTTACTGCAGGCCAAATCTGTTTTTTCAAATAAAGCTCTATGGTAATACACCCACTTTTTCTTTGTTTATGTATTGTCTGTGGGTGCTTTCGTACTATGACAGAGTTAATTAGTCGAGACCGACCAGTTGGCCTGCAAAGCTGCAACTCTTTATTTTCTGGCCTTTTATAGGAAAGTTTGTGAACATACGTTTTTACCTCTGTGGATATTCTGTCCTAAATGGATGTTGTTAGGTGCTATCGAGTCAGTACCAACTCACAGCAAGCCTGTTCACGACAGAACGAAACCCTATGCCAACCTCACGATTGTTGCTACATTTGAGACCATTGCTGCTGCCACTGTGCCAATCTATCAACACCATAACTCAAATGCATCAATTTTTTTCACAGTCTTCCTTATTCACTGTTCAACTTTCATATGCAGATGAGGTTATTGAAAATATAAGTCCTCTCCACTTTCAGCAAGCAACTTTGTATCATCAGCATATCAGGTAATAATAACCTGATATTGGAGTCTTCCTCCAATCCTGATGCCATGTTTTTCTTCATGTAATCCAGCATCTCAGATTGTTTGCTCATCATACAGATTGAATAATGCACATCTTTGCTAATTTTAAGCCATTCATTGTAGAAGGGTAGTTTATCTTTTAAATTTTTGCTTTCTCTCTTTTCCTTCCGTTCTTTTAGTTATACTTTCTGGAAGACTGTTGATGGTCTTCCAAATCTTCCATTTAAAGTTTTTTTAATAAAGTTTTTATTGTGATTCATGTGATAGTTTACATGGGAGAATATTATCTTTACTTTCATCCTATTGTATTTCATTTCATTGCAATGATTACAATCCCCTGCATGCATCATCAAACAACCAAAGGGTGACCCCTGGCCACCAGCACACAGCCCTTCTCCTTCCCTGAGTCTAGAGTCCCTAGCTGCTCCGTCTCTCCATGTTGTCTTCTCTGTCTCCATCCCTCATGTCACTGTTCTATTTAAAGTTTTATTATCTCCAAGAATTCTTCATTTTCTTCAAGCATCCAGTTCTCATATTCATGCTTTTATTTTTGTTGCTGTTTTAACTCTTAACTTTTAGGGGTTCTTATTTTTATTTAGGGAGTCCTGGTGTTGCACTGTGGATTAAAGCATTGGACAGCAAGGTCAGCGGTTCAGACTCACCAAATGCTCCTTTGATACCCTATACTGGGTCGCTGTGAGTCAGAACTGACTCAACAGTGCTTAACAACAACAACAACATGTTAATTAAATCTCTAGAGTTATTTTTGCTTTAATACTAATCTTCAGTATTTGGTAATCCTTTTATTTCATATTTGAGAATCAAATAATTTTAAAATGTCCTTGTCACCTCTTTGAGTGTGAGCTTAGGGTAAGCAAACTAGAAATCAACTATTTATCTAAACAACTCTCTTAATACAGATGATTTATCATGTGCTTTTTAAATTTACATCTCTGGGTTTAAAAATCTGGGACCAATTTTCACATTCTAAGAAAATCTGCTTGACTAAAGTGGATGGGGATTCATTCTTTTGTTGTTTCCATGTTATTTGTAAGTATTAAAGTTTGTAACATGTTTTGATTATAGCACTCTTATAATATGGATTTTTTAAATAGATGTTAGATAATAGCTTCGTTCCTAAATATGTTTTAGGTTGTTTTTGGTGACATAGCATATTAGTTTCCCGTTAAACCATTTCTATACAAATTGTTTATTAACAATTGCTTACGTTGTTTATAATGTGTTAGCGTTCCATTCTGGTTGTTCTCTTGCCATTAATTTAGCTTCCTTGGCCCCATTTACCTTCTCATACTTTCTTCAGGTTAGATATTGACTACTTGATCTCCTATAGATGATTATTTAAGATGCACAGTACTCATGGGTGATATTGTTTATTTTATGAGCTACTCTGCCTTTTAACTGATAGGTGATCTCCAGGAGTGGTTTGAGTTCCAAGTTGAAAGGGTACCCCAGTGCAATAGTTTTGGGGGTTCCTCTCTAGTCTCTACTAAGGAGCTCTGGTAGCTTAGTGGTTACAAATCAGGCTGCAAACCTTAAGGTCAGCAGTTCGAAACTACCAGCTGTTCCGCAGGAGAAAGATGAGGCTTTCTGCTCCCATAAAGATTTACAGCCATGGAAATCCTGTACCAGGGTCTCTGTGAGTTGGAACCAACTCCATGGCACATAACAACAACAACTAGTTGCTACTGGTCCAATACATCTGCCTGTTTTTAGGAATTTGAGTTTGGTTCTACATTTCCCCCCCCATTTTTCGGGATGATCTATTTTGCTATTGTTGAGTGCAGTCAGTAGTAGTCCTTCTAGATCTTCTGGTGTCAAGGTAGGAGGTGAAGCAGTGCTTCGTATAGACTGTTAGTCCTGTAGACTAGTTTCTTCTTTGAATGTTTGATCTATATCGTCACTTGCAAGCTTTTAAGACCCTTAGGTGCTGTAACATATTGCATTGAACTTTAAAATAGGTTGATGGTTCAAATGCAAAAGCCACTCCTCAGAAACCCTATACAGGGTTGCTGTGAGTCGAAATCGACTCATTGGCACTTACCAGCAACAATGAGTTTTTATGATGGCGGGGGGCACAAATCTTAAAAACCTCAACCCAATAGGGTAATGGAAGGAGTTAATGGGAAATCATAAAATCATAGCTGGGGTGGGGGTGCAGGGCAGTGGCAATGACAGCTGTTAGAGTGGAAAAATTTTTGGAAACAAATTTGTATGTGTGTGTGTGTTAATGGTTGTACAATAGGGTGAATTTTAGTTCAGGTCACTGAATTATACATGTAAAAGTTGAAATTTTTGAACATTTAAAGGTATATGAAGGAACTTCAAAAAAGTTCATGACAAAAATGAAATAGAAAGATAATGGAATTTTTTCACAAACTTTTTTCAGCCCCTCCATAAGGCAATTCCCCAGATAATACATGAGTTCCATTTCCAAGTCTGTTTTTAAGTTGAATTTGTACATGTTGAAACAGGTGCGGTTTGTATCTAAAGTTAGTCAAGTGTTTGTCTTAGTATATATAGTGCGCCTTTCTAATCATAAGTGTTAAACACTTCCAGATATGCTAAAATGTGTTTAGCATAATGTTTTAATTCATAGTATTGTATGTACCTTGAATTTTTAATGTAATAGGCTTTGGAGGGGAGTTGGTTCATACTTCAGAAGTTCATGACCTGTGGACTATGTGTGTTTCTTTATCATAATTTAATCGATTTAATGGATTTCTTTTCTCTTATGGTCTCTTGGTCAAAAAAAAAATTACAGTAGTTGTTTTGTCTCTTTTGTTTGTGGCACTGAAGGGTAATCACTAGATGGCTAACTGCAAGGTTTGTGGTTCAAATCTACCAGCTGCTTCCCAGAAACCCTATACAGGGTCTCTAGGAGTTGGAACCAACTCAGTGGCACCTAACATTATCAACAGTATAATTGTACATCATGAATATAGTTTTCATTTTTCCAGGTGTCCCCTAAATTCTCTGTGACTAATAACAGATGTTTGTTCTCATACTCTGAAAGAAAATTAAGCTAACTGAGTGATTGTTTCCTCCTTTTCTATTGTTGTTGTTAATTGTTGTTGAATTGGTTCTTACTCATAGCAACCTAGTACACTGTTTCCAAGGTATGGCTGATGGGTTTGAACCACCAGCCTTATGGTTAACAGTTCAGTGCTTATCTTATAGTGTGTGTGTATATATATGTATATATATATTTATATAATTTTTTATTTTTCTTAGTACATCAATAATAATTTCATATATCCACAGTTAAATATAATATGAATGTTAACTGTAAATAATAAATACATCATAACTTTTCTGTTTTTCTTTTTTGTATGTTTAATATTCTGTATTCTTCTTGTTGTTGTTGTGTGCCATTGAGTTGGTTCTGACTCATAATGGCTAGAATTCTGATGTGGCACCGTAGAATAAACATTGGACTGCAAGGTTGGTTAGAACTGCAAGATTGGTGGTTCAAAATCACCAGCCTCCTCAGAAACTCTGTACAGGGTTGCTGTGAGTTGGAACCAACTCGATGGCCCTTAACAACAACAACAGTGTTATGGCTGGAACTATAGTTGCATTGGCAGGACCAGACCAGATGATTTCATAGGCCTTATGTGGCCCGTGGGCTGGACATTCCCCACCCCTGCTGTATAGGGTTTCTGAGAGCAGCTGGTGGGCTTCAACTGCTGACAGTGCAGTTACTAATACAGTGTTTACCCTGTGGTACCACACCAAGGTCTACTCTATTTCTTAAATAATTTTTTTATTTTGGATTTTTTTTTAATGTATTAAAGATATATTCATATTTCTTTGTTGTTGTTGTTATGTGCCATGGAGTCGGAACCGACTCATAGCGACCCTGTACAGGGTTTCCGAGGGTGTAAATCTTTACGGGAGTAGAAAGCCTCATCTTTCTCCCTCGGAGCATATTTCTTTAGTTAAAAAAAAATTATTGTTTTTAACAAGTACATAACCTACCATGATAGTAGTTGTGGTTGTGTGCCGTGGAGTTATTTCCCACTCAGCTACCGTGTATAGGGTTTCCAAGGCTGTAAATCTTTACGAGAGCAGAAAGCCTCATCTTTTTTCACAGAACCACTGGTAGTTTTGAACTGCTGACCTTGACATTAGCATCCTGATTGTTAACTACTATGCTACCAGAGCTCATTAATCCACCATGATAATGTACCTTAATTTTTACAAATGTTAATGTTAACAATTGTAAAATCCATGGATTAATCGAGTCCTGATGGGCACTGTGGGTTAATGTGGTGGACTGCAAGGTCAGTTTGAACCACAAGATTGGCAGTTCAAACTTACCAGCTGCTCCTTAGAAACCCTATACAGGGGTCACTATGAATCGGAACCGACTCGATAGCATTTAACAATACTAACAACAATTTATTGTTGATTGCATAAGCTGTTTCCATGTCTTGACAGTTATAATGTGTAGTAGACACCTGTTTCTAATTTTGAGCCCTCCATTTAAATTTCTGTGATTGAAATTATTGTATTAAAGAATGTAAAAACAGTACTTGGCTCTGTATGTTGTTTTCTTTAGATGGATTAAACTAATTTATAATGTTTCTATAAGTCAAATGCTGTAACACTTTATACAACCTTGCCAGTAAAAGATAGTGAGGTAAGTATAAAATATTTCTTCAGGGTTGTTTTAATTTGCATTTCTTTATTACTGATAGTGAACATTTTCTAAGTGTATTTCTATGTGTATAATCTCTTAATCAAATGTCTTTTTGTATCTTTGACTGACTGAATTCCTGAATTCCTTCAGTTTTTTCTTTCTAGTAATAATATTTAGTGAGTCTGACCATTTTGAAGATTACATCCCCAAGAGTGTTGATGAGTTCTCTTGATACAAATGTGCTAGATCCTAGTGCTAACATCTTTCTTTGTCTCTCCTTTGTCTTATGTTAAGCTTTGACAGATCCAAATGCTTCTGCTGCCCAGCAGGCTGCCCTCCAACAGCACATCAATAGTTTAACATACTCACCATTTGGAGACTCCCCTCTCTTCCGGAATCCCATGTCAGACCCTAAGAAGAAAGAAGAGGTAAAATTCCAGATGGTTTTGTAAAATTTCTTCTCAGTATGCAACAAACTAAATATGCACAATATAAGTCCTTCACTTTAAACATAAGAGAGTAACCAAAGCTAGATATATTATAATTTTTAAAAAGATGTGCTGTTTATGCTTTTCATTGGGCCAGGGATAAATTCTATTTCTGCTATATCTATCAAGGAGCCATGGTGTGGTACAGTAGGATAAGCAAGGTCAGTGGTTCAAACCTACTAGCCACTCCTTGGAATCCCTATAGAGTTACTGAGTCAGAACCGACTCAGTGGTATTTAACAACAACATACATCTGTCTGAATTCCAGCATGACAAACAATGAAATGAGAACTGGGCTAGTGATCATAGTTGAGATCGTAAAACAGACCTGAAGTAAGGCGGATTTTATTGTTGAGAAAACTAAGGGTCAAGAAGGCTGACTGGTTTTCCTAAATTTATAATATGCCTTTAGTGACAGAAACAAAACCTTACTTTCTGACTTACACATAGCTATGTCCTAATCTTGTAAATTCTGGTAGCAAAGAAATTATCTTTTATTCCATGATGTCTTTGGCCTGTGTTTAATTCTGTTTTACCAATTATAATTTGTGAAATCGTTGGGCAAATTATTTTGCCTCTCTAAATCTCACATTTCCTCGTCTTTAAAATGGAAATAGTAATACTTTTTAATGTTGAGGATTAAATGGCTCATAATAAGTTGCTCACTATACAGAAACTATTACTGTTTAGTCACTTATGTCATCTTGGAGTTCTGGTGTGAAACTGGACTGCAAGGTCGGTGGTTCAAGCTCACCAGCTGCTTCTCAGAAACCCTATACGGTATCTCTCTGAGTTGGAACCAGCTTGACAGCAGTTAACAACAACAACATTTATCCTTTAGGTGGTTCTTAAATTAACCTTGTAGGCTAGATACTATGAAAAACAATATATGGATAGGACAGTACTTTTTAGAGTGGTATATAAATGTATGTTGTGATTAGGTGAAAAGTTACAAATTATATTTATAATGTAATAAGCATAATTAACTGGTGAATGAATCAACAGAATATGGTATAGCCATACAATGGAATATCTTTCAGCCATAAAAAGGAATGTAGTACTGATACATGCTACAACATAGATGAATCTTGGAACATCCTAAGTGAAAGAATCCAGACACAAAAAGCCACATATTGTGCCATTTTATTTATTATGAAATGTCATTGTAGGCAAATCCATAGCCTGTAGACTTATGGTTGCCACAGGATGGGGAAAGTAGGCAATTGAGAAATACAGTGTTTCTTTTGAGTGACGGAAATGTTACAGAATTAGGTAGTGTTTGCACAGTATAATGAATACAATAAGAACCACTGAATCAATACATTTTCCAGTGCTTAAAATGATGAATTTTATCTAAAAAAACAAACAAACAGGAGAGAGCATAGATAATAAGATTTTTTGGAGGAGATAATATTTACCTTTTATGATGGACAGATAGAATTCAGTAGGTCTTATTCAAGGAGTCCTGGCGTAGTGCTGTAGGTTAATGCACCAAACTGCAAAACTGTTTGAACTGCAGTATTGGTGGTTCAAGCTCACCAGTCACTCCTCGGAAACCCTGTATAGGGTCGCTATGGGTCGGATCCGACTCGAAAGGCACTTAACAACAACAACAATTCAAGGCATTATAAAAAATGTTTTTATTCTAATAATTATTGTTTATTGATTGATGGATAAATGCAAACAACTAGCCTTCCCCCACCAAGATTTTAGAATTGCGTAGAAGTTGAATATTACTTCATAGCTGAGGGATATTTTTGTTTAGTTTTGTTTTAAGCATGACTTTATGTTTGTAAACATTTTATATGGCTTGGAATTCTCTTGATGTTGTGTTTTCTTAAAATGAACATAAATATTGATGCCCTTTTGAATGCAAAATGGCTGCAGGATTAGTGGATATATCAGCAATTTTTGGTACATTTTCATTTGCAAAGCACTTTTCAAATACAGTTATCTCAGTTGCATTTAAAAACAAGTCAGATAAATCAGTTGAAATGGACACTGGAGAAATGAGTAAAAATCAGTTCTAGAGAAATAAAGACAGTTCCCTTGGCATTCATGTATACATACAAAAATAGGTGTTAACATACTTGTTTTATGGGGAATTGAGACTTCATATGTATCAGGTGTCAGAGCTGAGGTTTGAACTCCGGTATTTGATTTTAAAACCAGTATCATCAGTTGAATTAAACCAGAACTTTCCTTGTGCCTTTTCTTTCATTGTTCAGAGATTGAAGCCAACAAATCCAGCAGCCCAGAAGGCTCTTACTACACCCACTCATTATAAACTTACACCGCGCCCTGCCACCAGAGTCCGGCCAAAGGCTTTACAGACAACAGGCACAGCCAAGTCACATCTCTTTGATGGGTTGGATGACGATGAACCATCCCTAGCCAACGGAGCATTCATGCCTAAGTGAGTTTAGGTTTGAAAATATAAATGCTATGTGTTAATACTAACTAAATAGAAAATAATCATATGTTTATATTTGCTATAGTTCTTTGTAGCTTTCTCAACTTGATAGTTCTGATACCATTCCTTTTTACTTTTGTCTGATACGTTTTTATGCTTCCTGTTTAGTTTCTTGTTTTCCAGTTGAAGGTGTATTCTTCATATGAAACATTTAACTATATTTTCTTCATATGAAACATTTAATTATCCTTTTCTTTCCATGCCCCTCTGTTACTGTGTTTTAATCCACTGCATAGTTGTCCTACAAGACGTGTCCAGAGTACAATTAATCTCTTAGCCTTCCCTCTGGAATCAGAAAAGTCCCCAGGAAAAAGCAACCCCAAGCACTGAACCTCTCATTTTCTTATTACTTACTTAATTATGTCTTAATAAGGTGTTTAACTAGCATATATAATTTCTGGGACAAACACTACTAGTTTTTGTTAGTATAGATGAGACACTCAGTTGAGACTAGAAGTGCATAAACATATAAATAGGATCTACTAGTTGTAGTTGTTTAGCGTGCATAACGTCTCCATTTTTTTTAAAAAAGAAGGAATATAGTGTACTAAATCGTCCAGCGATTTTTTAAGTGGTACTTAGTTAAGATCACTTCTACTCTATAGACATGGTTCCTCTGCTTAAAGTTCATGTACTATAGTTCTTATCTTAGGTAAACCTGTTATACACAAACCTGAGCTTCTTAGGTATTTGTGATCATTCTTAACATATGTCAAGGTTTTGTATTTTGTGTGTTTTTAACATGTTTATTTTTTCATTGTCCTTTTTTTTTTATGTTTTATTGTGAATTATTTGATAGTTTACATGGGAGAACATTAGTTTTACATTCATCCTGTCGTATATCGTTTCATTGCCATGGTTACAATCCCCTCTATGCATCATCAGCTAACCAAAGGGTATATCCTATAAGCCTGTCCCATCCACCCCCTCTCTCCCAGTCATCAGTGCACAGCCCTTCTTACTCTCTGGGTCTAAAGTCCCCAGCTGCTGCATCTCTCCACATCAACGTCTCTGCCTCCATCTCAGGCATCACTGCTTCTCTGGGTAGGGTCCCGCTCTCCGCTCTTCTCCCTTCATGGTCCCAGGGACCTCCACTTAATCACTCCCCTCCTTGCTACAAAACGTCTACCTTTACATTTCCAACCCTCACAATCAGTCCTGATAACAATTAATCACTATTGTATCACAAGAGACCTATCTGTACTTCCTTTCATCAGTTCTGCCTAGACAGATTGGATACTACTCAGTGGAGATTCAACTTTCTTCCACCCCCTCTGGATCTAGGTTCCCTCTTGAAAGCTTGTAAGCCAGTCACTTCTTGCCTTTGCCTTTGTAGCGCCCCACCCCCACCCCCGTTTTGGGTAGCCAATGTCCAAGTTTCCCATCCCTGTCTATCTTTGTATGGAGCGGGGGTGGGAATGATCCTCTCTGTAAAGATTTGTTCCCTCTTTTGAGCTACTGCTTCCCTAGGTGTAGGTCAGGTTCATCAAATTGTATCAGATTACTCTTTTTTTTCCTCTTCTTTCTTCTTTTAGTTGAGCTCTGATCATCCAGTCATTGAAGCCAGATCAAGTGGGTATTATCTGCAAGTGTGAGTGTTCTTGTGCATTTGCCTTCTCTTATCAGTTGGATGCTTCATTCTCCACTCTAGTCCTCTGTGGCTATGTCACTGACTCGGGGCCCAAGAGTCCCCAGGTCTTGCCACACTGCTCTTCATTGTCTTTTTTTTCTTAATGTTTTATTGTGAATTATATGATAGTTTACATGGGAGAACATTAGTTTTTACATTCATTCTATCGTAAATTGTTTCATTGCCATGGTTACAATCCCCTCCATGCATCATCAACCAACCAAAGGGTATATCCTGCAAGCCTGTGCCCCCTACACTCCCTTCTCCCCGCCCCCCCCTCCCCCCCAGTCTTTAGCACACAGTCGCTCTCCCTCTCCAGATCTAAAGTCCCCAGCTGCTCCATCACTCCACGTCATCATCTCTGCTTCCATTTCAGGAATCACTGCTTCTCTGGGTAGGGTCCCGCTCTCGGCTCTTCTCCGTTGATGGTCCTAGGGACCTCTGCTCCTAGACTGGAAAGTTAATCACTCCCTTCTTGCTATAAAACGTCTACCTTTACATTTCCAACCCTCACAATCAGTCCTGATAACAATTATTCACTGTTGTATCACAAGAGACCTTTCATTTCATTAGCTCGGCCTAGACAGATTGGAAATACTCACTAAAGATTCTGCCTTCCTCCAGGCCCCTGACTCTAGGTTCCCTCCTGAAAGCTTGTAAGCCAGTCACTTCTTGCCTTTGTAGCCCCCTCCCCCCCATTTTGGGTAGCCAGTGTCCAAGTTGCCCATCCCTGTCTACTCTTTTTCATTGTCTTTTAAAATATATATATATTTACCAAATGTTTAATAATCTATTTTCTTCAAGTCTGCATACTAAGTTTTATGAAGGAGGAAATAGTTATAGATCCTGATTGTCCCCCACAAGAAATAACAAACAGAAGATACTGTACAGAAATAATAAAAATCCACAACATTGTAATGAATAAAATAAGTTCATAGGAAGTTGAGTGTTTTCAAGTGTATTTTCCACTTTGTTTTAAATGTATTCACTTTATTTTTCCAAACACCAGATTACAATATATTTGATAGTCTTACGTTCTAGTTATATATTTATAGGAATAGTTTATGAACAGACTGTATCCGGTCAGTTTTAGGTAGCATCATTTAGGTAGAAGAAGAGTGCCAATTTGAGCCTCAGCTTTTATGTTTCTGACTTAGCTTTGTGTACCTGGCATATTTTTCCCCTCTGTTTTTAGGAAGAGCATTAAGAAGTTGGTTTTGAAGAACCTTAGCAATAGCAATCTCTTTTCTCCTGTTAATCGTGATGCCGAAGATCTTGCTTCACCATCTGATTATCCAGAAAACGGAGAGAGGTAAACTAAAGTGTATTTTGGTTTGTTTCTGGTGAAAGAATCCTTTTTTCATTTTGAAGAGATTCTGCTCCTAGAATCTAATCATTTAATGAAAATTTAAATTATGAAGTTTGGTGAACGTTACATGAAAGTATTACTGCATGTGAATGTTTAGAAATTCATTCTTTTTTTTTTTTTGCTTCTTCAGTAGTTTAGACTTGGAGTTTTTCTGAATCAGTTCTGTACAATTAGTTGGCATCAGCAGTTTAAACCCATCAGCTACTCTGCTGGAGAAAGATGAGTTTTCCTCTCCTGTAAAGATTTGGTTTAAGTTTTGTTATATATTATTATGGATATATATGGGTAGAGGTTATGAATGTGTCTCCTGTAGCCTGCTTTTTTCCATTTATTGTAAATGCCTTTTCATGTCAGTATCCATGTATCTGCCTCCTTTTTTTAAATGACTGCCTACATAGTATTCCACTTTGTGAACTTGAAATACCCCAACCAGACATTTAGATTATTCAATATCCATGTATTCAAAATAATGCCTCTGAAAATCTTTTATATTTTTGCACTCATCATTTTTTAAAAATAAAATCCTAGTTTACTAGCACCTTGCTGATTGTAATATTAAAAGTCATTTTTAATTGAAATTTGCTAAAAGCACTCTCTGAAGAAAAATGAAAATTGAGTAGCTCAGATCCATTCATTTAAGAAAATAGACCATTGTAGAGACTTAGACATCAGACTAGCCAGATGAGCTAGGATAAAATTCTAACTCTTCTGTTTACAGTTCTGTGACCTTAGGCAAGTTACTTTACCTTTCTGTACCTCAGTTTCCTTACCTATTAAGTGGAGATAGTGATAGTAACGTACATTACGGGATTGCTATAAGTATTAAATGAATTTTCACTATGTGGAATTGCATAGGACAGTGCCAGGCACTTAGTAAGGACTCAGTAAGACTTGACTGTTAATATTTGTTACTACTACTAGTACCACAGGAGCTAATAAAATGCTTCTTATTTTGGGGTTTGTTTTTTCCCCTTCCCTTTCCAGATTCAATTTCCTGAGCAAACCTATTGATGAGAACCATCAGCAGGATGGAGATGATGATTCTCTTGTGTCACGTTTTTATACTAATCCTATTGCCAAACCCATCCCTCAAACTCCAGAGAGTGCTGGAAATAAACACAATAGCGGTAGCAGTGTGGATGATACCATTGTTGCATTAAACATGCGGGTTGCCTTGCGAAATGGGCTAGAAGGAAGTAGTGAAGAGGCGTCTTTCCATGATGAATCACTGCAAGATGACCGAGAAGAAATAGAAAATAATACTTATCACATTCATCCGGCAGGTCAGATCCATATTGACACATGATTAATTTTTTGTCATAGTCACTGATTTTCAGCACTGTGAAAGTCAGTTATCTGTACTTAAAACTATTTTAATTGCATTTTATAGAGGTTCACATGTGAATACTTTCCATTTATGCTTTAGTTAATTTTCATACTTTTGAATCTTTGGGAGTAGTGAAAATTGGTGTGTCATTAATTATTTGGGTATATTTTAAACAACCCAAATTTTATATCTTAACAGATAAGATTGAAATTTTAGAACTTTCTAAGGTACACTTATAAAACTATTAGTTTGTTGTTTTAATTAAAATGAAAGTAGTAATGATTTCCCATCATATTAGGGTCTATAAGATTTGAATTTAATTAGGTATATATGTACCATTATGTCTGATATATGTAGGCACTCAAATGGTAGCTGCTGCTCTGGTTATCTAATGTCATCTCAGTTCTGTGCTTTCCGTTTGATTTCCAACAAATACCAAAGCATTAAACAATGCTACAAGAATGGGGAGTTCTTGGCCAGATACATAAAGCTTATCCTTTTCCTGTGTTGATAAACATCTCAATTGTGTTTCCATGAGTGTCATCACGTTGTTTTTATTTAAAAAATTTTTTTAATCAAAGTGAAGTTTGCACATAGTGAACTGTGTAGATCGTCCTAAGTATTTATTCTGATGATTTTTTTACCTGCACAATTTTTTTCTTTCTTTCAGTTGTCTAATACCCCAATTGAAATGTAACATTTCTTTTACCCTGCTTTGTTCCCCATAGTCTTTTCTTAAATTTCCTTTAAGTAGAATCATATAGTATATACTCTTTCACTCAATATAATGGCAGCAATTTGGTCAACAGTTCATTCTTTCTTACTACTCAATAATAATCTATATATAATTTTGTGTATGCATTCTTCTGGTGATGGACATTTTATATTATTTTGTCTGATAGTATCTAAAATTTAGAGTTCCATTAGCAAGCATTTTTTAACATTTCTAAGATAGGTAAAGGCAGCACCCTACCAATCCTCTGAACCTTGTCAGAAAATAAGCAAGCCAGTTGTACAATTGGACATTGCTGGAATGTAATTTGATGTGTGTCTGAAATTCTTGTATCTCAAAGAGCAGATTAACATAACCTACAAATGGGACAAGAAGTGATTAAAAGGAACATACCAATGTTCCACTACTACTGTTGAGTGCTTCAGGAGTTTTTTGTTGTTTTGTTTTTTTTTTAGTTTGGTGGTGTCACCCATATCTGAGTCTTACTTTTGGATATGTTCAGAAACCCCTTTTCTCCATTTAAACATTTCTTCTTCCTGCCCATTAAATATCACTAGATAATAGCTGAAATTTCCCTATTTAATGGTTTTAAAAATAATACTAATGTAGGCTTACTTGTTCCTGGGACTTTGTTATGTAGGATATTTCACCTTGATTTTAGTTTTCTATTTGGGTATATAAATTAGTAACATGCAAAAGGCTTATGGGAGACAGTAAACTATAAAACAGAAGGTATTGGGATTGGAATTTCAATCCCATCTCTGTCACTAAATCACTGTGCAAGCCAAGGCAACTTATTTCCACCCAGGATTTTGGTATGGTATCCTCATGTTTAAAACAAAAGGAAACAAGATTTGGAAAACCCATTTCCCATAGTCTGTTCTTTGGAATGCCATTCATACTGCAGGATGTTAAAATGTGTGTCATATAAAACATTCTGTGGTTAAGTCAGGGATACACTGAATTAGGCAAATTTAAACTAGGACTTTGAACTGGTTCAGTCATGGCTGAATAAAGGAAACAGACGTGGACCCGAATCTTTAAAATGTGGGTGAGCCAGAATAGGAAAAATTATGGGTTTGACGCTCTGCTAGAAATTGGTCTCCCTCTTTGAAAACAAGGGCAGTATGCGTATTACATGCATTGCATAGCCATCAAATCTCTTGACTGGCAGAGTTGGAAACAGTGATTCCCTACTCAGTTGAGTCTCCCACATCAGGCTGCTGAAATTTCAGACTCACTGGGTCGGAGTCGACTCAACGGCACTTAACAACAACAACAACATACCTCTTCTGAGTCCCATTCCGTGACTTCAACCCCCAATTTTTCCTATTCCAGTTACTGTTCTGCTTCACCCAAATTTTTAAAATTAATTTCTATTTAGACTTCATTGCATTGGCCATTACCGAACCAATTCAAAGCCCCAATTTAAACAGTTTTCATTATTGTGAGAATTTTCAGTCTGTACTATGCTACATCGCTGAAAGTGAAGAGAACTTGAAACATTTACTTATGAAGATCAAAGAGCACAGCCTTCGATATGGATTACATCTCAATGTCAAGAAAACAAAAATCCTCAACACTGGACTAATAAACAACATTCTTATCAATGGAGAAAAGATTGAAGTTGTCAAGGACTTCATTCTTCTTGGATCAACTATCAACACTCACGGAAGCAGCGGTCAAGAGATCAGATGATGTATTGCACTGGGCAAATCTGCTGCACTGGAACTTTTTAAAGTGTTGAAGAACAGAGATGTCAGCTTGAGGACTAAGGTGCGCCTGACCCAAGCCATGGTATTTTCAATAACCTCATATGGATGTGAAAGCTGGACAGTGAATAAGGAAGATCGTAGAAGAATTGATGCCTTTGAGTTGTGGTGTTGGAGGAGAATACTGAGGGTGCCATGGACTGCCAAAAGAACCAATAGATCTGTTTTGGAAGAAGTGCAGCCAGAGTGCTCCTTGGAGGCCAGGATGGCTAAGCTTCGTCTCTCATACTTTGGACATATTGTCCGGAGGAAACAATCGTTGGAGAAGGATGTCATGCTGGGTAAGGTGGAGGGTCAGAGAAAAAGAGGAAGACCTCTAACGAGATGGATTGGCCAGGTGGCATCATTGATGGCGTCAAGTGTGGCAGCGGTAGTGAGGTTGGCCCAGGATCAGACATTGTTTCGTTCTGCTGTGCATGGGGTCGCTATGAGTTCATTCCAACTCGATGGCACCTGACAACAACAGCTATGCTACATTATGTGCATGTTCCTTAAACTTATTTGACCACATAGCTAGAAAATAAACAAATTGCCTTAGTGTTTCCTAGGAATACAACTTGGGTCAAAACTAATAGAAAATCCTATATTCCTACATATTTTTTCTCTATTTAATAATGTGGAATTTCTGGTGAGACACTGTAGGATAACTGCAAAGTCAGCGGTTCAAACCTACCAGCTACTCCACAGAACCCTATTACAGGGTCGCTACTCGATGGCACTTAACTACAACAATATAATAATAATTTAATTACTAATTATTAAAAGGAAAAAGAATGAATTTCGTATTTCTGTGATTTCCTCTATCAAAGGACACTATTAATCTTTTTTGTTTGTTTTGTTGCAGGTATTGTTCTAACTAAAGTTGGTTACTATACTATTCCATCTATGGATGATCTTGCTAAAATTACTAATGAGAAAGGGGAGTGCATTGTATCTGATTTCACTATTGGTCGTAAAGGTAAGTGTGAGTGTAGGAGTTAATGTTGCATATAAATCTCAAAGGAGTTCTGGTGTGGCATTGTGGGCTAATCAAGCTCACCAGCTGCTCCTTAGAAACCCTACACAGGGTATTTGTGGGTTGGAACCAACTCGACAGCACTTAAATCTCAGAGATCTGCATCTTGTTTTTGTAATTAAAGAGAGTCTCGTGATAGATGAGTTTGTTTTTTCTTATATTTGGGCTCACCACTCAAAGTATAAGAATAGTAGATAACTTTGACAACAAAATAATAAATGTAGCCGTATAACCTTCTTTGGGTATAGGTATACTTGTTTGGGGTAGGTAATTATTTGACCCATTTTCAGTTTTCTGCAAGTAAAGGAAATACTGGAAAGATACTAAGTTAAAAAAAAAAATTGAGTCGTTGACAAGAGGTTTGTTGTTGTTGTTGTTGTGAAGTGCTGTCAAGTTTGTTCCAACCCACAGTGACCCTGTATAGGGTTTTTGAGGAGCAGCTGGTGAGCTTGAACCACCAACCTTGTAGTTCAAATCAGCTTTGCAGTCTGGCGCATTAACCCACAGCGCCACACCAGGACAAGAGGTAGATAATATTCATATTTAGTTCAACCTCATGATATTAAGCTATTACAAATATCGTTTCCTTGGGGAAAACCTTATCATGCTGTATTGTAGAAGAAAGTACTGGCATTTAATCTAATTACAGCTTTATAAATATTTTGGGCAAGATTTTAGAAAGTGATATTGAGGACAATGGGGGGATTGAAAAAATGTCACCCCTGTATCCCCATCCTTCCAGTATTATGGAGAAATAACCCATGTTAGGAATTGCTGGATGATTTTAAAATCATGACTGATGTGTAGAACCGCTCCTTCTGATTATTTCATAACTGGTGGTGTAAAGTTGGCATTTGCCCTTATAGAAGATGAATTTGTAACTATTTGCTTTGGCTTGTAGGTTATGGCTCAATATATTTTGAAGGAGACGTGAATTTGACAAATCTAAATTTGGATGATATTGTGCATATCCGAAGGAAAGAAGTGATTGTCTACTTAGATGATAGCCAAAAACCACCTATTGGTGAAGGACTTAATAGGTATGAGTTTATTTACTTATGTTAAAAAATACCCAATCCATAGGCCAAGGGGTGGGGGTGGGGGGGTGGAACGACACATACAGAGGTGGCAACTTAGGAGGCGGTGACGCGAAAGGCCAAAGTGCTCAAGCCTGGACCAATCCCCGCATCCTTGGCCACAGCTCCTAAGTCTGCACCATACTGAGAGATGAAATGGGCCGAATGGACAGCTGAGTCTAATTTGGAACCGTCTGGAGCGTTCTGCAAGTAAGATATGGATGTTCCACTTACAAGGACATGAAGTCTGAGGATCTGATGTTCCTGATGGATCTCTCTGCCATTCACCATCAGTATATGAAACGCATGTTGTCAGGTGGCTTTGGATATAGTCCCTTCCTCACCATCATGGGTAACATTCCTTCCTCACCATCATGGGTAACATTCCACGGCCAAGGTCTGCCAATGACAGGATGCAGGCTGGAGCTGTTTCCTCTCTCAGGATACTGGGAATGTCTAGTGGCTTTCTGTGCATATTTGCGATGCTGAATGACATGAATTGGAATATAGAACACATGACAGCTAGAGGCATTTGTCAGACTTTTTCATCTTCCTTGGTCATCTCTTACTCCAATACTTGGTGGCAGTATCACTAAGATAATCAATCAGAGATGTACTCAACACCAGGATCTGGGAGATTCAGAGGACAATACAGAACTCAAGACAGTGGGCTACAGCAGATGTCCATTTATCACATCTGGGTAGGGATCATATATGAGACAGGGCTCATATCCTTCAGCCACAGAGGGGACCAGGAAGAGCAGCAGGACAACATCAGCCTGAATGAAAATGAGGCTGCAGCATTTGATGATGAGTGGTGGAGGGAAGCTTCCCAGTTCCAACCGTAGTGCCCTCTGAATTTCGATGGCAAGAGGCATCAGGGTGGGGGGGTGGGGGGGTAGGCTGAGGAGCTGGCTATACAGGGACCTAAGGACTCCGCCTCCTGACAGTCGTGCTGCTATAACTGGAGAAGACTCCAGACCCTCAGTCTCTCTTTACAAGCCTGTGAGAGGCTGAGAAATCATCCCCTAAAATAACTTTTCCCTTTCCAATCCCACTCCCAATTTAATGTTAAATTAATAGGTAAACTGACCTCCACCTTTTCCTGGAGGACTCAGAACTTTTCACAGCCCCTTCCACCTACTTTTCCTTCTTTAATTCCCTTACCATGATGATTCCTTCTCTATTTTTTTTATTTTTTTTTATTCCACAACATTGCCAAACATCTGTTTACTCAATTTGGAGAAACAAATGATTCTCTGAATTACAACTTGGAAATATTAGATGAATAGAGTTTTATACTAATTAAACCCACTGACAGCAGTGGATTCATTTTTAAAGTATTATTAGAATATTTTGTGAGGTCAGGAGGAATTGGACTACACATTTTTAGTTTCTTCATTCTGTACATACTATAACCATTATAGATAAAACCATATCATGTATGTCTAATATACTTACGACAACCTACATATGACTGTTGTTCATAAGCGTGTACAATGAAATAAAAGCGACTAAGTTTCTTACAGCATAGTTCACTCAAGAGTTTTAAATTGGGTTGAATACTAAAATCAGAAAATTGCTAAGGACTAGCCTTCAACAAGATTTTTTGATAAACGTTTTTCTCTTATTCATCCTACTTTTTTGGTAACGTGTTATTTATTTTAAAGTTTTTGTTATGAATTGAGTGATAGTTTACATGGGAGAACTTCAGTTTTACACTCATTTCATTGAAATGATTACAGTCCCCACCATGCATCATCATTCAACAGTATTTACTTCTGTTTCCTCTGTTTTTTTGAATGCACACAAAAACACTCTGGAATGTATAATCATTTAAACAACCAAAGGGCACATTCTGCAAGCCTGCCTCCTGGCTGTCAGCACACAGCCTTTCCCTTTCCATGAGTCTGGAGTCCTCAGCTGCTCACTCTCTCCATGGATGATTCCTTTTCTTGTATCCGCTAACTTGATATTTTTATTTTGCTGATCCACTGTCCCCTAACCTCCCCTATTCTGCCCCTGCCATGTAGTAAAGGAAAGGTCTTTGGGGGTAAATTCTGGGTCCAGGGGCCTCCTCCATGACTCAGCTCTCTTGGGCCCACCTCTTCCTCAGAGCCCCTCAAACGGAGTCACTTGCCCTCATCCAGGACTGTGGAGGGATAAAACTGGGCTCATTCCCAACTCCTTCTTCACCTCTTTCCTGCCCACACACATCACAAAAGTCTTCCCTGCACCCTTCCCGTCTTTTACTTTTGATTTGTGCAATTTGTAACTAGGTGTTTATGGAATAAACAAGAGTGGAAAAAAAAAGAACCAGCTATAGACCACAATTCTGTTTAAATTTGTCTTAATATATGCATTCCTCTGCAACTTGCTTTTTCAATTTACTGTATACCCTGTGATTGTTTTTTGATTCTCATTTGAAAGTATAAATGATAAATGTGGCCTTTTATTTATTTATTAAATCTTATTTTTGTAAGCAGTGGATTATAAGTTTAGCAGTTTAAACCCACCAGCTGCTCTGCAGGAGAAAAATTAGGCTTTCTGCTCCTGTAACAATTTAGTGGAAATCCTATATATAGGGTCGCTGTGAGTTAGAATCAGCATGATGATACTGGGTTTGGTTTTCCCTAATATCAGGTCAAACTGCTGGTTTCCCAAAACTTTTTTTTTTTTTTTTTTTTTTGTAATTGAAGATTTACAGAATACTCATCAGTCCCACATTCAAGAAATTCTACACTTTGTGTCATTACAATGATTGCAATTCACTCCATGTACCATCAGTTCACATATTTACCTCTGTTCATTTTTTTGCCTCCCCCTAACACCCATCCCCCATCCACCTTGTAACTAACCATCATTGTTGTTAACGTGCTAGCAAGTCCAGGGTTTGCAAGGAACAGCTGGTGAATTTGAACCACTTATCTTTCAGTTCAAAACCAACCTTCCGGTTCAGTGTGCTTATCCTCAGCACCACACCATGTTTAATTTAGCATGAAAATCTTAACTTTTTACAACAGTGGTCTCATGGCAATATTTGTCCTTTTGTGATTGGCTAATTTCATTCAACATAATATCTTCCAGGTTCAATCATATTATCCCAATCACAGTTTTTAATAGTATTTTATTTTGTTCCTTTTTTTTGCCCTTTGATTTGGCTATGCCTTCATTTCTGCCTTTATTTTAACCTAAGAGCCTAGTTTCTCTTATATCTTCAATCAGGTGACGTGACCATGGTTTAATTGATCTGTCTTGAAATTTTATATCCACATTTGGAGTAGCAGCTGTAGTGGAGCCATATTCTCTGTGTCTTTATTTTATAAATTTATTCCTTATATTCATTAATATGGTTACTTCTTCTGTTCGAATTTCGGTACTAGTAGAAGGCATGCAAATGAATAGGACATAGTTATTTAACTCAGCTATAGATATTAGAAGGAGTGACTGCAAGGTCAGTAATTCAAATCAGCCAGCTTCTCTGTAGGAGAAAGATGAGACTTTCTGCTCCGGTAAAAATTTACAGCCTTGGAAACCCTTTATAGGGTTATTATGAGTCGGAACTGAGTTGACAACACACATTATTATTATTATTATTATTGTCCTCACATATTGGTTAAACCAATTTTGTCACTGAGTCAGTTCCAACTAATATCAACCATGTATAGAGTTTCCAAGGAGTAGTTGCTGGGTTTAAACTGCTGTCCTTGTGGTTCACAGTCCACTGCTGATCCTACAGTGCCACACCGGGAGCCCAATAAACAGTAGTAACAGCTGTTGTTGCAATTGTTGTTGTTAAGTACAGTAGAACTTAAGACCTATACTGAGACTTAAGATTTAGTACTGGTGTGGTGCCATAAGATAGGACTGGTAACTTTAAGGTCAGTGGTTCAAACCCCTTAGCCACTCCTTGGAAACCCCATACAGAGTTGCTATGAACCAACCCCGCAGCAATTAACCAACAAGCAACAATTATTTGGCCAAGGACTCATTGCCTAAGTGTTAAAGTTAGATTAGAAATAATTGATGTACTACTCAAGCCATGATATTTTCAGTCACCTTTATATGTATGTGAAAGCTATGAATAAAAAAGATCATAGAATTGATGCATTTGAATTATAGTTTTGGCAAAGAATATTGAAAGTGCCATGAACTGTCAGAATGACAAATGAACTATCTTAAAAGAAGTGCAGCCAGAATGTCCCTTAGAAATGAGGGTGTCAAGGCTGTCTCACGTACTGTACTTTGGCATATAATCAGGAGAAATCAATCCCTGGAAAAGGACATCATGCAGTAGAGGGTCAGCCAAGAGAGTAATACACCCTAAACCTCGTGAGATTGATACAATGGCTGCAACCATGGGCTTGCATAACAATTATGAGGATTGCACAGTATTTGCTTCCATTGTGCATGTTGTTGTTGTTAAGTGCTGTCAAGTCGGTTCTGACCCATAGCGACCCTGTATAGGGTTTCTGAGGAGCAGCCAGTGAGCTTGAACTGCCGACATTGCAGTTCAAACAGCTTTGCCAGTCTGGGGCATTAACCCACAGCGCCACACCAAGACTCCATAGGGTTGCTGTAATCACAGCCAACTGCATCAAACAGCAAGAACAACATGGCTGTCTGAAATAAATGTAGTCTTGACAACAGAACCAAATACTAAGCTAATTGATGTGGTGGTGACTCTTGGCTATTAAATTTATCAACCTGGAATACACCTATATTGTAATTCCAAAGTTGTATAGCTACTTTAAGAAAAAAACTTATGTATCTATTCATTGGCTTTTTAGTTTTAAATATGAAGCATTTACATTTTACTTGGTTGTACTTTACAGGAAGGCTGAAGTTACATTGGATGGAGTTTGGCCAACAGATAAAACATCTCGTTGTTTAATAAAGAGTCCAGATCGACTTGCTGATATCAACTATGAGGGAAGACTGGAAGCAGTTTCAAGGAAACAGGGAGCTCGGTTCAAAGAATATCGGCCTGAAACTGGTTCTTGGGTGTTTAAGGTATAATAACATACCCATTTCTGACTTGTATAAACTTCAATTCAAGGCATAAAATGTTTTTGTTGTAAGAGCCTCCCTCTTATAGTCTCTGTTTTTACAAATTAGGAACCAAGTCTAGGGAAAAAAGAAGTAAAATTATTTGTTGATAATTGTTGTTGTTAAAGTGCCATCAAGTCGGTTCCAACTCGGCGAACCTGTGTAGGATTTCCGAAGAACAGCTGGTGAGCTTGAACTGCCAACCTTGTCATTCAAACCGACCTTGCAGTCCCAGTGCATTAACCCACAGCACCACACCAGGACTCCAAGAGATACCTAATAATTTGCTCCAAATTGTACAGCTGGTCAAAACCCAAAGCAAAAATGAGCTGATATATAATCTTTTGTGCTCATGATTCAAATCCTCTACTCCAGCCCATGAGCATATAGTTATACTTAGAAGGTTTGGTTCTTCTGATTAGTGGCATCATTAAGAATTTTAGTAATTCATCAGACTTAATTGTCTTTGGGTATTTAATTCTTCCTAAGTAAGTGCCATTTGTTCTGAAAGTGAAGAGATTAAGACTCTTCTGTCTTCATTTCATTTCAATGATTACAGTCCCCTACATGTAACAACAGTTATCCTGCTTCCTCCTTGTAGTTCCTATTGCCATTCCACCCTCTTTCCCATCCCTTCTCAGTTTTGTCCTTAGGTATGTGTTGCCCTTTTGATATTGAGTGGTTGACCATTTCATGGTGAGTATACCTTATTAGTGTTGTTGTTCCCCCTGTATACCTATCTGCTACTTAGCTGACAATTGGGCCTCAAGGGTGAGTTCCATTCTAGACCTGAAGAAAAGTGGTCGAGGGCCATATATCTATCAGGTTTCTACCATCTCCGGCAGTAAGTCTGGTCTTTTTTTTCCCCATAATTTTGTTTCACTTTTTCTCCCACGTTATCTGGACCTTCTAATGTGATCCCTTTCAGAGCCGTTGGTAGTAATAGGCACCATCTAGTTCTTTTGGTCTGAGAGTCTTGACTGATGTGTTCACATTGTCCTTTGGTCCACTGGACTGTTTATTCCAATTAGTCTCCATTTTCATCATCCCTATTCCACACCTGGAGAAACCAATAGTTGCACCTTAGATGGTTGCTCATGAGCCTTTAAGATCCCAGTCGCTACTCAGCAAAGTAGGATGTAGAACATTGTCTTTGGGGACTACTTTACGTCAGTTGATATTGTGTTCCCAGAGACTATAATCGTGAGACCACAGGCCCAGTAAACTCATTGCCTCAAGATGTTTGATAATATCTAAGAAGTTTTCATCATTTTGCCCCATGTATGCTCCACCACAAGGAGCTTTGTAGCATACTGGTTACAAGTCAGGCAGCTAACCTTAAGGTCAGCAGTTCTAAACTACCAGCTGTTCCCTGGAATAAAGATAAGGCTTTCTGCTCCCATAAAGATTTACAGCCTTGAAACCCTATACAGGGTCGTAATGAGTTGGAATCAACTCCATGGCAGATAACCACCACCACACTCAAACATGTTCATAGGTCTGTTTTGAGGCAGTATTTAGATTTGACAAAACAGCTTGTTTGGGTTTAGTTTTCTATATTAATAGTTGCATTTTAAATTATGTATTTATTGTGTCCATTCATTCACTTGGTAATTATATTAGCAACTAATACATGCATTATATCATCTAAATGTTCACAAAATTGGTTAAGTGCAATAGGGTGACATTTTGCTCTTAATACTTTTATATTCTCTCTGTGTAAACTCTGCAAGATTGCAAGAACAAATATTATAGAAGCTCTTTAGAATATAACAGTGTTAAAAGTGAATTTAAAAACATTCTTATCTTTCTTAGGTCTCCCATTTTTCTAAATACGGCCTTCAGGATTCTGATGAAGAGGAGGAGGAACGACCTTCCAAAACTAGTACAAAGAAGTTGAAGACTGCCCCTGTGCCTCCTGCAGGCCAGACTATACCCTTCCAGATGGCTCTTAATGGCAAACCAGCACCTCCACCCCAGGTAGAGAAGGGACAGTGGATTTGAATGGAATCCATGATACAGAAGTTGAAAGCAAGTAATTCAGCTAATACAAAGCTGTTTTGTGGCCACTGGAACTTTGAAGAGTACAAATGCATTGGCAGTCAAACGTTGAAACAAGTACATGGGAGGGTGTGAGGTGGTACTGGCATCTGTTTTTTACTTGGGAGATTTAAAGAATGCTCTTGCTGTTTGGATCATTCCTTCTACAGATTGTCATTCTTAAACAACTCCCTCTCATTTGGACCTCCTGCATTCTCTGCTCAGTGATCAACCCAAGAGAGCATTTTGCTTACTGGGTTGTTAAAAGTACTTTTTGTTGAGTACCTGGTGTACAGTTTAATCTCGTTCTTTACCTCCATGGTTTTTTAAAAATTAGCATTCTGCAAGGGTTTTTAACTCCCATTTTTCTCAAACTGATTGCTTATACTTCAGGTAACCTCTTCATATTTGTATTTTAAAAATACTTAATCTTTATGAAATTAGATGAGAATTTCAAATTCAAATGAATTATTTGCCTTGGAGAGAGTAAAGGCTGCACTCTTTTTGTGATTGTTAAACCAATGTAGAGCTTTTTGTCCTGTGGGGAAAGGTTTGTAATTTAAATATCAGGTAGCTTCTTTGAATGCCAACTTATGAAGAATTTTCTTTAATTTGGATATTGTTTACATTCAATCAAGTCATAAAGATAATTATTCCTTTGCTGCCATGAAGAATAATTTTTTATATAGGATTTCATTGTAAAGCATCCTCTACCTCTCAGCTACTAAATGCTGGAACTTTGGAATTTTCTGTGCTTGAATTCTTATGACTGCTGAAATGTGCAATTTTTATGATTTATTAAATAATTTTTTGGGAGGCATTTGCTAAAAAATGTTGTGTATGTATGCTTGAATACACGGGTGAGGGGAGGATCTGGTAAAAGTGGGTAACTGAAAATATGTTGACTTATATATCATTTATAGTATCCCTAAGAAATCTCTTGAGGGTAGGGACATTTTATTGTGATTTGGGTGAAAATTTATAGGACAAATTAGTTTCCCTTTTAACACTTTACATACATTTAGTTTCATGAAGAACATTAGTTACAATCCCCTAAAATCTCATCTGAGCTAAAGAAATAAGGTAAATGAACTTGGCTTTCTATTTATTTTTGTACCATATTCATTTTGAGTAAATCATAAGCCTTGTACAGTGTCTTACATAGTGTTTTTTTGATGTTAACATTGTATGTATTTTTGATGGAAAGAGTAAGATAGCTGTATTTTCTGCTAATAAAAGTAGTATTTAATAGAGATACACCTGAAAAAGAAAAGCTTAATCTGTGAACAGACAGCACAATCATCAGTGGTGTTTGGGCTCTTTAATCATTAAAATGCAAATAGGAGAGAAATACAAATCCCTTTAATGATATTTCGGAGTCCTGGTATGATGCTGTGGGTTAATGTCAAGTTGTTGAACTGCAAGGTTGGTGGTTCAAGCTCACCAACTGCTCCTTGGAAACCCTATACAGGGTCTCTATGGGTCAGAACCAACTCAACGGCACTTAACAAAAACAACAATGATCCTTTTCAAAGGGTTTTTACCTACAACCCACCTGCCCCAATTTCGAATAAGTTTTGTTTTTGTTTTTAATGTGGAGAGATTGTAAGTAAACAGGCTACAGAGGATAATTTTTAGCTAATTTCCTTTGATAGAGGAAGTGGATAGTCTGACTTTTTGGATGAAGAGAGCAGGCACATAGAAATGAATAGAGGAGTTGAGCTATTTAGGCTTCACGTTTTGTTTACTTATGAAAATCTTGAACTTAGTGTATTAAAGCACCACTGACCTTACGAGAGAAGGGGGAAATGCCAGTGATTGCAGTTTTCCTTGTTCAAACCAAAAATCAGTTGCCTTGAACTCAGTTCTGACTCAGCTCCTTGTGTATCAGAGTAGAACATTACTCAGTAGGATTTTCAATGGCTGCTTTTGTGGAAGTAGATTGCCAGACCTTTCTTCTGAGGTACCTCTGGATAAACCCAAACCTCTAACTTTTTGGTTAGAACCCCAGACTCTGTTTGGCAAAGGAAAAGACTTGATCCATCTGAATGAACCAGAAAAACAGCATACTCTTCTCATCCTATTGACAAAATGATACATCTTCACACTGCCAGCTGGCTCCTTGGAGAGGGTGTTCCTACAGTTTGTTGTAGCATTTTTGTCTGTATACAACCTCAAGTTCTTTGACTTTTTCATGTTTGTGTGTTTCTTTAGGTATTTAAGAAGGTCTGCATTTTGTTTAATCGTGTGGTTGTTAAGTGTCATGGAGTGTCTCATAGCAACACTGCACAGGTTTCCAAAGAGTGGTTGGTGGGTTTGAACTGCCAGTCTTGAAGTTAGCAGTCCAGTACTTATTCTGCAGTACCACACCAGGACTCCAGTGTTCACATTACCTTACCTTTTTGTTTTTGACTATCCAAAAACAGTCAAAGAAAAAAAAGAGAGAGAGGTGACCCAATGGAATGCGGAAATCATAGGACAGTCTCTTTGATATCTCAAGCAAGTAAAGTTTTGCTAAAAGTAATACAGAAACAGCTACAATCATACATTGATAGAGAACTTCCAGAGGTTCAAGCTGGATTCAGAAGAGACCGGGGAATGAGAGATATCATTGCTGATGTCCGATGGATCTTGGCTGAAAGCAGAGAATATCAAAAAGATGTTTACCTATGCTTTATTGACTACGCAAAGGCTTTCAATTGTGTGGATCATGACAAGCTATGGACAACATTTAGAAGTATGAGTATTCCAGAACACTTAATTGTACTTCCGAGGAATCTGTACCTGGACCAAGAAGCAGTTGTTTGAACAGAGCATGAGAACATTGAATGTTTTAAAATTGGGAAAGGTGTGCAACAAGGTTGTGTTCTTTCACCATACTTATTCAACCTGTATGCTGAGCAGATAATCTGAGAAGCTGGGTTTTATGAAGAAAAACGTGGCATCAGGAATGGACTCATTAACAATCTGCAATATGCAGATGATACAGCCTTGCTTGCTGAAAGTGAAGAGGACTTGAAACATTTACTGATGAAGATTAAAGAACACAGCCTTCGGTATGGGTTGCATCTCAATGTCAGGAAAACAAAAATCCTCACCACTGGACCAATAAACAACATTCTTATCAACGGAGAAAAGATTGAAGTTGTCAAGGACTTCATTCTTCTTGGATCAACTATCAACACTCATGGAAGCAGCAGTCAAGAGATCAGACGACGTATTGCATTGGGCAAATCTGCTGCACAGGAACTTTTTAAAGTGTTGAAGAGCAGAGATGTCAGCTTGAGGACTAAGGTGCGCCTGACCCAAGCCATGGTGTTTTCAATAACCTCATATGGATGTGAAAGCTGGACAGTGAATAAGGAAGATGGTAGAAGAATTGATGACTTTGAATTGTGGTGTTGGAGAATACTAAAATTGACATGGACCACCAAAAGGACCAATAGATCTATTTTGGAAGAAGTGCAGCCAGAGTGTTGCTTGGAGGCCAGGATGGCTAAGCTTCGTCTCTCATACTTTGGACATATTGTCAGGAGGGAACAGTCGCTGGAGAAGGATGTCATGCTGGGTAAGATGGAGGGTCAGAGAAAAAGAGGAAGACCCCCAACGAGATGGATCAGCCAGGTGGCATCATTGATGGCGTCAAGTGTGGCAGCGGTAGTGAGGTTGGCCCAGGATCGGACATTGTTTCGTTCTGCTGTGCATGGGCTCGCTATGAGTCGGTTCTGACTTGATGGCACCTGACAACACAACAACATCCAAAACCAGGGAGGTTCTTTATTCATTCTACATGCATTTAGTGCCCAATCTGTGCTGAGCTTAGTGAGAAGCCCAGGAAGTACCAGAGTAAACAAGCCACAGTCTCAAAAGAGCAAGAGAGGAAATTACTCCACATTTAAAAAATACACTTTTTATATAATTCTGTATCATAAAATTAAGTTTTTAAAAGATTGCATTCTATATGGGGGCCGAGGGCAGGGGTTGTTAACAGCTACAGAAAGAAAGTCACCTAATCGGTAAGGAAAATAACAACTCTCCAGTGGAGAAATGACATAATAACATCACCTTACCTTTTATATATTATTCTAAGATCCCTCTTTTTCAGTGGTTCTTAAACCCTCTTTTTGCTCCTAAAAATCAAGTAAATCTAAGCAATGAGAAAGCATAAATGAAATTTCCATGTCATCCTGTCTCCTTTACCTTTTTTATTTTTTTATTTTTAATGTTTTATTGTGTATTGTGTGATAGTCTACATGGGGGAACATAGTTTTACATTCATTCCATCATACATCATCTCATTGCCATAGTTACCATCCTGTCCATGCATCATCACCCAACCAAAGGGTATACCCTGCAATCCCGCCCACCCTCCCCTCACGGTCCTCAGCACACAGCCCCTCTCCCTCTTTGGATCCCTAGTCCCCAGCCACTCCATCTCTTCATGTCATCCTCTCTGTCTCAGCCTCAGGCCTCACTGCTCCTCTGGGTGGGGTCCTGCTGTCCGCTCTTCTCTATTGATGTTCCGAGGGCCCTCTGCTCCTAGACTAAAAGGTTTAATCACTCCCCTCCTTGCTATAAAATGTCCACCTTTACATTTCCAGTCCTCACAATCAGTCCTGGTAACAATTATTCACCCTTGCATCCCAAGGGACCCATCTGCATTTCTTTTCATCTGCCCTTCCTAGACATGTCGGATACTACTCACTGGACACTCTACCATCCTCCCCGCCCTGTGGATCTAGGTTCCCTCTTGAAAGCTTGTAAGCCAGTCACTTCTTACCTCTGTATCCCTTCTCCCATTTTTGGCTAGTCAACGTTCAGGTTGTTCATCCCTATCTACTCTGTGTGGAGGGGGTGGAAATAATTATTGGAGCAGGGATTTGTTTCCTGTTTTGAGCTACTGCATTTATAGGTGGATGTCCAGTTTATCAAATTGTATCAGATGACGCTTTTTTCCTCTTCTTTCTTCATCGGATTGAGCTTTGTTCGTCACATCATTGGAGCCATGGCAAGTGGTTATCATCTGCAGGTGTGGGTGTTCCTGCATTTGTCCGCCCTCTTCTTATCATTTGGTCGCTTCCGTCTCCTCTCTAGTCCTCTGTGGATGTGTCACTGACTCTGAGCCCATGAGTCCCCAGGTTTTGCCCCACTGCTGGCCAACCAGGTCTCCACCTGGGCTCACCATAGTCTGCTGAACGATGCAGGGCTTAGCTCGCTGCTTCTTTGATGTTCTTCGGTCACTTCTCTTTATGGGTGACGTGTGTGGTCGCCAATCAGAACTTGTTTTCCCATTGCGTCTTAGTCTTGGAGGAGGATTTGCACTGAGAGGACCCGATCACTTGCCTTGATATCTCCTGGGCAGACAGCTTGCTTGTTCTTGTGGTAACAGTCGGACTGCCCTTGTGGTTTTGTCCTCTACCTTTTAGGTTAGAGAAAATGTTCACTTTCACAAAGATTAAGGCAATCGAGGGTAGAGATGTTTGTTCTGTAATTAAAATGGTTCCAAAACTGAGCTCTAGCTCTGAGTTCACTGCATCAGAATAATGAGATCAGCTCAACTTTGAGTCTATAAATTTGACATGGGTCTCAACATATTTCTATGTTAAGTACTTCTCCGCTGGAGTTTGAGATATGCAGCTAGGTTTTGAAACTGCTTGCGGAAAAGACCACAGACCTTTGATATTCAGGTTGCTTTTATACTTCAGCTTTACACTGAAGGACAACTTGGGTTCAGTACTGTCAAGGAAGGCTAATAAATTGCCAGGCACTTAATATTATGTACTCAGTGAGTTCATTCAAATAAGTTAAATAAAAAGAAGGGAGAAAGTGAGTAGAGTTTAGAAGAAAAACCCATTTCATTTTGAGTATGCTTTGATTTGAAATAAAATGGCAAGTCTAAGTTGATCCAGTAGGTTAATTAACATACAAGGCGCCTTTATAAAGTTATGGGATTTTCCCATTCTTCCATGAACATTTTGAAGCTCCCTCATTAAGTGTTTAGTGAATATGATGCTGAACTAACTATGTGCTTCGTGTTAAATATAGAAAGCAGTTGGTCATAAACTTTGTTTTCAAGTCTTGAGAATCTGGTGGGGCACACATAAATATCTATGCAACAAATCATATGGTGTGATCTGTGGAATCAACAATGTTATGGGAACCCAACAGAGGTGGATATCCTGACAGGGAATGGAGAACATCAGGACCTTTCCCAAAATAGAATTGCTTGCCTGAAAATTTATATACTAGGAAGTCCATGGTGTGAATGTTTGCAAGAGTTTCCCAACAGTTCTTGTCATTGTAATGAAAGCATTATTACCAAAGCATTTTTTTTTTTTTTTGTTCCCCTCAGGACTTTAAGGCATAAGAGCAGTCACAGCTGTCTATAACCTCCTCAATAGGTGAAAAGTAGTGTGTTGTTACCTTTTGACTATTACCTAACCTCCAAGAATTTTGTTGGAACAGCCCAGGGGATTTTAATTGACAGTTTACTATGTCTCAGTTTTTCTGTGATTGTAAATGGACACTCTCATTCTTTTAGTAAGAGTATTTGTTAAAGGAATATAGGATAGCATAAGCTAATGTACCATTCAAGGTGCAGTTGAAACCCTGAGAGTTGTTTCTGGGTCCAAAGAAATCATGCCAACTTTAAAAATTTTTGTTATCTATTGTATAAATATCATCAATTTGAGAATATGCGTGCTTAAAGTAGGCCAAAAATCATGAAAAGAAGGTAAGTATCTGTAATGATAAGAAAAATAAGTGGCAGGACTTTGAAACTATAGCACAAATTAACTCAGTTTATTTCTTTCTATTTTATCAGATGATATGAGCTTATAATTAATTTGCACTGAACCAGTTAATTTAGCATATACTTGAAGTTTTTTGTTTTTATTTTTTAACCTGAGTTCACCCAGGTGTTCTTGACAGTATTTTAGATGCAGCTTAGTAATAATTGAAATTCTAGTTTTATGTCATTTCTATACTCATTTACCATTAAGTTTTATGGGGGCATTAGGATTATTTAAATGATTATGTTTGTTTTATTGTGGTAAAATATATATATAACAAAACATTTGCCTTTTTAATGTACAATTTGGTGACATTAATTCCATTCATTTTGTGTAACCATTACATAATTACTATCCATTTTCAAATGTTTTTCATTCTTCTAAACAGAAACTCAGTGCCCCTTAAGTAATTAGACCCCATTTCCTCGTCACATAGCCCCTGGTAACTACTGATAAGTTTTTGTCTTTATGTTATTTTCTTGTAGAATATACTTGAGTTTTATGAGCATTTTACCTTTTCAAATTATAAACTGTTGGGCATGGTTATATATATCTTTAAATGTGCTTAGTAAATGTAAATGTAACTCTGAAAGCTTTTTACCATAAAGTGATTATTCCCAAATTAAAATTATTCTTAATATCATTGCTTTGCTTTGATTTTTGGGAAGTTTTCTTACATGGTAATACACAGGTAGAACTCAGCCTTAGAATTCAGCTACTTGAAAGATAAATTCCAGATTCAATATTCTATCTCAGTAGAAATTTATTTCTAAATGTTTTCTTTTTTAAAAAAAAATGGAAACTTTGATATTTGTGTCTTTTGTCCTTTTTACTCAATGACTCTGACTATAAAGCAGTGTGAGGCAGGGTGAGCCTGTGTAAGTCAAGAATTATAGTTGCTAGCTATCAGATAAGGCATAATTTTTGTGTCTGAAGACCACCATTTGCTTTGTTTCTAAGGTAACAAATAATCAAGACTTTGGATTTTGGCTTAAGTTCCAGACACCAAACCTTAATGTTACAAAAGGGTGATTCCATGAAGTTTTGGATCTCATGTACTTATAGGGCTTTAGGGGGTGACTGTCGTTAACTCTTCTTTAGTAAATAGGCTACCTCATATCATGAAGGAATGGGCAGAACTTGACAATGATTTATTGCATTATGAATTAAGTAAATCTGGTCCAGAAGCTTTATATCTATTTAGTGTCATTTAATGGTGCTTCCTAATGTTTCTGCTGTCTACAGAGCCAAAGCCCAGAGGTGGAGCAGTTAGGGAGGGTTGTGGAGCTGGACAGTGACATGGTAGATATCACCCAGGAGCCAGTTTTGGATTCCATGTTAGAAGAGAGCATGCCTGAGGATCAGGAACCTGTGTCAGCCTCAACACACATTGCGTCTTCACTGGGAATTAATCCACATGTTTTACAGGTGAAGTCCTAACCTACTCTTTATCCCTTTGCATAACATCAGGCCAGTTCCTTGATTATCCACTTTAGAGCATTGAGTACATACTGGAATAAGAAAAACAAAAAAACAGGAACATGGCCAACATTTACGTCTTGTTTTCCCATTTAGTGAGATGACCATATATTGAGATTCAGAAGATACAGCTTCAGGTCTTAATTGCACGAGAATTAGATTCTAGTCCTGGTTTTTTTTACCACTATTGCTGTGTGATTTTTTTAAAAGTTATTTAACATCTTTGATCGCTGGTTTTTCTCCTGTGCTTTGTTTGCTTCACAGGATAATTTTGATGCTCTATAAATTTGCTTCACAGAAATCAAAAGGTGTTTTTGGGGTTTGTTTTTATTTTAAACTTTGGAGATACAGGTTTAAGTTCTGCCTCAACCTCCCCTTACTATATATACCTTTTGATATGAGGTTAGCCCTCTGGCTTATGTTTGACTTTATTATTATTCATTCAACAAACCTGTGAATAACTGCCAGGCTGCAATGAGACTGTAGATACAAGAAACAGCATTATAGAGTCAGTCACACAAATGTTATATTAGCTCTGGATATAGCCTTGAGGCAGAGTGATTTATTGGTCTTCCTAAAATGCTTTTTTCTCTGATGGCACTGCCTTTTTAGATCATGAAAGCATCATTGCTTGCTGATGAAGAAGATGTAGACATGGCCCTGGATCAACACTTCAGCCACCTTCCTTCCAAAGCAGATACTTCTCAAGAAATCTGTTCTCCCAGGCTCCCTATTTCAGCATCCCACTCAAAGAAGTCCCGTTCACTAGGTAGAGTTATCAAGTTCTACGTCTCACATTATGTTCTAAGCTGAGTGGACTTCTCTAGTAATAATCTCTATAAAGGTGGTGGTGGTTGTTTGCCATTGAATCGGTTCCAACTCATAGTGAATCTGTATTAGGGATTCCTCAGGCTGTAAATCTTAATGGGAGCAGAAAGCCTCATCTTTTTACTGCATAAAGGTCATACCTATGATAAGTTAATGTTGTTAGGTGCCATCAAGTCAATTTGAACTCAGAGCAACCCATTGTATAACAGAACAAAACACTGCCTGGTCCTATGCCATCCTCAATTGTTGATATGTTTAAGCCCATTATTGCAGCTAGTTTGTCCATCTATCTTGTTGAGGGTCTTGCTTTTTTTTTTCACTGATTTTCTGTTTTACCAAGCTCATGATGTCCTTTCTCTGGAGATTGGCCCTTCCTGATGATGAGCTAAAGTGTGTGAGACAGAGTCACCATCCTCATTTCTGAGGATGTTAGAAATGGTACTCTTAATATCTTAATATCCATTAAGATTTGCCAATTTTGAAGAACTGTGAGTAGCTCTATTGGTGCAAATACAACAGTTATATAGAGAAGAATGCATTTGTGCTTATTTTGAGGTCGTTTTTTGTTTGCATATAAGTATGGATGATAAGCTTAGAATTCCTGGTTTTCATCAAGTCTTATTTAGAAGAGTCTACAAAATGTACAGTGCACTCTGCAGTCTTAGTATTATTGTCTTCAGGGGACACATGTTAACTCTCATAATACACAAAACGTATCAAACCTATCAGAGTTCTATTTTCCCTCCCCAAATTCCCAGGAAATGATTACATGGTTGCTTTTAAAGCTTTCCCTTTGCTTTTCTAGTGGACTTGGAACTATGTGGAATTCAAGAGGTAACAGAATGTTGGTATCAGTAAAGGACTTAAGTAGGTATAATTTCAAAACATTTTGAAAGCCAAAGGAACTAGCAGATTTATGTTCCCTTCCAAAAAAAAAAAAGTTTCAGTTCTCTTGAGTGCCCTTATTAACTTTACTTTTTAGAGTATTTTAACTGATATGCATCAATTTGACATTCACTTTTTCTGCAATCGACATAACCTGAAATTTTCATTTCAGTATTTTTGTACTTGAGACAGGAGCCCTAAAATTTAAAAACAGGCAAGAATACAGTGTGTTTTCACTTCCTTAAATCTAACATAAGCACCAACTCAACGGCACTTTAATAAGTCTAATATTGAGCATTAGAATTAAGTGGATGTGAGTCCTGATCGTATTTTTAATATGGATTTTTTAATATTAACCTAAGAAAGGGTTACAGAGTTCTGGTAGTGCAGTAGGATAACCTCAAGGTTGGAGGTTCAATCCCACAAGCTGCTCCGCAGGAGAAAAATGAGGCTGGCTGCTCTTTAAAAGATTTCGTCTCAGAAACCCAAAGGAGCAGTTCTACTTTGTCCTGGTGTCAGATGGCTATGAATCAGAATTAAGTTGTTGGCAGTGGATTTGGTTTTTTTTTGTGTTGTTAATAAATTGTTAAATTTGGGATCCTTATAAGGCATGAGCATGGTTATCAGACTGACCTGGACTTACCTCCCAAGTCCTGCCAGTGAGCCCAGTTTTCTTACCTATAAAATAGGGGTGATTGTAATAATACAAGTTACTTTAAAGGATGAATTTTTGTTTAATGTACACAAACAGCTTGTACATTGTTACAGATAAATGTGAGCTAATTTTTAATAAGAATAATAGTAGTATCTGTGCTGTTATTATTATTGTTTGCCATCATTATCATTAGAATTTCTGTCTTAATTTCCTGTTAAAAGAGTAATTTCTGCCAAATCTGACTTACCCCACCTCTGGTCATCACATATAATTTAATTAGTTTGCATAATTTCAGCCTTATTGATTTTTGGTATTGTTGTTCAAGGAGCCATAGACTGTAATTTCTAATTGTCTTTTCTCCCTGCATTTCAGTTGGTGGGTTACTACAATCAAAATTTACAAGTGGAACTTTTCTTTCACCAAGTGCCTTTGTGCAAGAATGTCGTACTCCTAGAGCATCATCTCTAATGAATATCCCATCCACATCCCCCTGGTCTGTCCCTCCACCACTGACCTCTGTGTTTACAGTGCCTAGTCCAGCTCCTGAAGTTCTATTGAAAACAGTGGGTACACGCAGGCAACCAGGTTTAGTCCCTCTTGAAAAGTCGGTCACATACGGCAAAGGGAAACTCCTGATGGACATGGCTCTTTTTATGGGACGCTCATTTCGTGTTGGTTGGGGCCCCAATTGGACTCTTACTAATAGTGGAGAACAACTGAGTGGTTCCCATGAACTGGAAAATCACCAGATTGCTGATTCTATGGAATATGGATTTCTGCCCAATCCAGTAGCTGTTAAATCGTGAGTCACTTTTTTTATGCGTGGGGAGAAAGGCAGTATGGGTGACGAGAAAGAATTGTTACCAGGAGACCAAGGTCACAGCTCCGCTTTGTGATTGTTCTATATATGTTCTTACTATAATTTTAGACATAGAAGGTACAGTAACTCCATTTGCAAAAAGTATATAATATTTACCTAATCATCAAAGTTTTGTTCAAAGTGTAACAGACCCAAAACTAATGCTGTCATATGCCTTGAGTTTTTGGCTTTTTTTTTCTCCTTGATTAGTATTTGTGATTTTTTTTATCTTCAAGACAGCTTCAAAAAGTTTATGGAAAATGGAATTAAAAGATAATGGAATTTTTTTCCATGGACTTTTGAAGTACCCTCATATTAACTGTATTTTCAACTAAGTACATTTCCTCTATGGGCAGGTTTATGAGCTGTAGATACTGTGGGTGTAATTTGAATTTGGAAATAAGATGACATCTAAAAACTGTCTCTACACACTCTACACTTTTAACATTCACATATAATGTGTGCTTCCTTAATGTAATCTATTACATGTACATTTTTCTTGTAGTTACTGACCAGTATTTATACAGATGCTTTATATAAAATAAGATATATTTTCTTTAGTTTTTATAATTTTAGGTATTTGTGCTGTCTTTACTCCAGATTCAGTGAATATGTTCAGCTATTGTTTTTTAGTTTATAAAGTTGACTTTGAAAATATAAAGAATTAGACTATCTGTTGAATACTGAGTCTGAACTGAGTGATTAACTCTAGATAGAGCATAATGTCATGGTATTTTAGAGGTTGTTAATGTTAGTTTTAGAAACTGGATCAAGGCCATATTAACTATATGTTCATCTTAATTTAGAATCACTTCCTTAGTATTGAAAGGCTCAGCCTTGTAACTTTTGATATAGCTCACTACTAAGTATAATTTTTCAAGTGGATATCTGACCATAGCTTTTGATTTGTGGATTTTATAGTCTCCAGAGATGTGTTCAAACCCGTTCCGTAAGTGTACTGATTCATATCCTTATTTTCACCTGGCCTGAGAAGCCTCTTGGTTTGGAATGCATGGGTCAGATAACTTATTTAAAATATAGCAGTTAGGTTCAATATAGTTTGACATAATGAACCAACATTTCTTTAAAATCATAGTGAAATGTTTTGTAGTCTGTATATAGACATAAAAAGAAACAAAGATTTGAATGTAAGGAAATCTAAATATCTGTCTTATCTTTATTTCCTGTTGTGTTCCTCATTTGCTCATATAGTTTAACTGAGTCCCCATTCAAAGTTCACTTGGAAAAACTCAGTTTGAGACAAAAAAAACTGAATGAGGACCTGCCATTATACCAGACACCTCTAGAGCTCAACTTAAAACATAGCACTGTCCATGTTGATGAGCTATGTCCTCTTATTGTCCCCAATCCGGGAGTTGCTGTCATTCATGACTATGCAGAGTGGGCTAAGGAAGCATCAGGAGACTTACTGGAAGCACAGAGTGAGTATGCACTATGCTTAAAACTTTTGGTGTCCAAGTACATAGGCGGATACATTTTTGCATCATTGTAGTACGTAAATCTAAGCATTTTTAGTTTTCTGTAGTTGTGTTGGGATGAGTAGTATTTTAAACAAGAAATTGTATCATTATTCTCATACCCTTCAAGTACTTGTTCAAAGAAACGAACCAAGCAAGCCTCTTAGATTTAGGATATTCCAAACCTTTCCTAAACCAGAGAATAAAAAGAGAAATAAGAGGGGGCTTCAGAAAGATCATGGGGGAAATGTCATGAAAAGATCATGAATTTTCCTTCTTGCTTTTCTAAATTCTACCCTTTCTCCCATGTCCTGCTCAATCAAGTTCCACCTGGTCTTCCCAACAGCATTGGGGCTTAAAATTCCCTGTCTGTCTTTAGGCTTTATTATCTCTCTGTAGCTATTCTGGTATGGCACTGTAGGATATGCACCAGACTGCCAAGGTTGGTTTGAACCTCAAGGTCGGTAGCTCAAACTCACCAGCTGCTCCTCAGAAACTCTATGCAGAGTCTCCATGGGTGAGGACTGACTCAACAGCACTTCACAACAACACAGCCATTCTGGAGTACTGGTGTGGCGCTGTAGGATAAGCATCAGGCTGCCAAGGTTGGTTTGGGGACCACAAGGTCAGTGGTTCAAATCCACCAGTCGCTCCTTGGAAATCTTATACAGGGTCGCTATGAGTTGAAATTGACTTTACGACACTAAACAACAACATAGCTATTGTGGTGCAGTGGGTTAAGCACTGGGCAGCTAACTGCAAAGTTCATGTTTCAAACCCACAAGCTGCTCCACTGGAGAAAGAAAAAGCTTTTAATTACCTCAAAGAATGAGTCTCGGAAAGTCTTAGGAGCAGTTCTGTTCTGTCCTGTAGGGTCACTATGAATCTGAATCACTGCGGCAGCAGTGGGTATTATAACTATCATGACCATGTCTTACTGAACCACTACTTTGATAAGAGTTTATCCTGATTTGGCAACTTAATGTATTAAGCAGTATAAAAATATCATATATAGCTACAGTAAAACATGTGAAAACTAGAGCCTATGGAATGCAGAAACCTCTCAAAGAAGAAAAGTACTGGTTATTATTTTCCTCTAATAGAGAGCAATAGGCAGTGAAAAGTATCAAGACATTGTCAAAGGTAGAAATCTCTCCAAGATCTGGAAAAGCAAGGCAGTCTCATCAAGTTCCGGCTCTCACAGGTTTCACTGTACATGTTTAACAAACCCCATTTATTGAAAAATGGACAATATTTTAGAATTTCCCATGCCACACCTTTTGGGACTTAATTTATGCTCATTCCTTTATGTTTCCTTTTGATGTTTCAGCTTTTCGGATGTGTAAGTTATCTTCTCAGTACATTTGAATTTTGAAGCGATAAACAGAGCTCCCTTTTTGTTTTGTTCCTTGAAAGCAATAGTGGTTAAGAGCATAGAGTTGGACTCATTGCCTGGGTTGGAATCTAGAATCTACTACATATTGGGCAAGTCCATTAATTCTATGCCTCAGTTTCCTCATCTATAAATGAAGGCGCTAACTACTATCTTATAGCTACTCTGTGGAGAGTAGAGCTCGTTTACACTAACAATGTCAGTTGTTGTTGTTAAGTGCCATTGAGTCAGTTCCAACTCATAGCAACCCTAGTTCCCAAAGAGTGGCTGGTGAGTTTGAACTGCCAACCTTGCGGTTCAGACCAACTTTGCTGTCCAGTGCTTATCCTGCAGCGCCACACCAGGACTCCCAACAAGTAGATTAGGCTCAATGAAATGTCACTTACTGTGCATTGTTTTTTGTTTTTTTAAGTTGCCATCAAGTCACTTTTGACAATGTGTTTCAGAGTAGACCTGTGCTCTGTAAGGTATCCAATATCTGTGATAATTCAGAAGTAGATGGCCAGACTTTCTTCTGAGGAAAATCTGAACAGATTTGAAGTGCCAGTCTTTCAGTTAGTAGCCAAGCACTTAACCGTCTGCACTACCCGGAGTCCTTGTCCTAGGGTAGGAGAGGATAATCCTTTTTACACGTTTTCAGAATAGTTTTAGTATTTTGTAGACAGAATTTGATCAAATTTGAAGGTCTTTTCTTTGTCATTTGCAATGTTGTTAGGCATAATTAGACTATGGGAACTTGTTTAAAGAAACATACATTAAGTTTGTTTGGAAAATCTCACAGGAAAAGAAAATGGAGCAAGTAAGCAGTAAATACACCTCTGGAGCTCTTAGGAGAAAGCTGAGTGAGGTGAAGACAAATTCATAGCAATCTATTTGAGTGCTTGTTTTGGTATTTTTTATTTATGTACTTTTTAAGCTATAATTAGAATAATGTCCTCTTAGGAGTTATTATAGAAGTTGTTTAATCTTATTCTTTTCCTGTCCCTTTCTTAGTTGTGAAGCACTGGAGCCTGACTTGGACGTTATGTGAAGCCCTGTGGGGCCACTTGAAGGAGCTTGAGAGCCAGCTGGATGAGCCCAGTGAATACATTCAGATTGTAGAGCGTCGAAGAGCTTTCTCCCGCTGGCTCTCCCATACTGCTGCACCTCAGATTGAGGAAGAAGTCTCCTTAACACGAAAAGACAATCCTGTGGAGGCTGTTTTCAGCTACCTCACAGGCAAGAGGATCAGTGAAGCCTGCTGTCTGGCTCAGCAGTCAGGTAGGGCTTGTGGTCCTTTCTCTGTACCCCTGTTGACTTCCTGCTGTGCCCCAACCATTAATTACAGAGTTGCCTGTCTTCTAACCTGAAAATAATTGTATGTAGGTTTGCAGGACGATTGCTGTTCCTCCAGAATGAGGGCCTTCTAGTTCCATTTTTAGAATCTTAAACATTGAATTTATTTAATTCAAATTATTTTAATTTCATGTGTTACATAAACCTGGTAGTAAAAACAGAAAATGCAAACAAGCAAAATGATATAAATTAAAATTCCCCAAATCCTGTAACTCACTACTACTCACTGCAAACATTTAAATGTGTAGTGTGTTCTTAAAGTACTTCATTTGTAAGGTACACTGTATATGCATTTGTATTATACAGACATAAATATAAACTTTTCAAAGTTTGCCGAACTATATTCTGTTTTTCATGTAGAATATTAAATGAATATAGATAACAGTACTTAAATGTTTCTCTTCTTAGTATTATTATGTATCAATGTAGTTGTTAGCAAATTTATGTTTTGATGTTTAGGTTATTTATAGTTTTTATTATTTTAAACAATACTCTGAACATCTTAAACATATTTTCTTTATATTCATTTATTTCATTCAAATAAATATGAAGCAGTTTAATATTGGGTTGAAGGTATTTTCTTGACTTTTTTTAAAGGTTCATATATATGTGCTTCTTTAGTTCCCTGACACCAATGAGAGGCATTTAGCAATGACTGGACAAAAATGACTAATTAGTCCCAACAGAAGCGTTCACAAATTACTCTAGATACTAATGACTGTAAAGACACAAATCTTGTTAGAAATACAAAGATGACGTAGCTCAGTTACATATAGTTAAATCCTTGATCAAACCCTGTTAATTGAAACAATCAACTAGATTTTTATTCAAAGGACTTAGTCTATTATGAAATTAAAAGTTAGAATTAGATACATACAAATGGCCCAGTTTGATTCCACTGTTCACTACATATTGATCTCAGTACCTTTCATGATCTTTATATATTTATATAGTCAGAATTGGTATTTAGGATTGTCTTTCTATAAACCTTTAAATATTACGAATCATTAAAGAGATAGTTATGCTCACTAGCCACACCTACATATAGTAATGCTTAAGCAGTTCTTATATTTGCCTATTCATACACTTTTTTTTTTTCTTCCTATTTTTCTGACCTTTGACAAGGCACTATGATTGGTGACACTTGGGTCAAACATTGATTGGACTGTTTAACAACCAAGGTTGACGATTCAAACCCACCAGCCTCTCAACAAAGAAATACAAGAGACTGTCTGCTCCTATAAAGATTTACAGTCTTAGAAACCCTACATAGGGTCGCTGTGACTCAGAGTCAACTCAGTGGCAGTAGATTTGGTGTGGTTAAGTGTTAAACCATTGCCAAAGCACTAACTTTCAGGTTACTAAAATTTTTGCCCCCAAAATAGGAAATACAGTATTAAATGAATGTGACATTAAGTATTTGAAAGGGAGCTGAAATATTCAATAAAGACATAATATTATTTTTTTACCTTCTTTTAAACTGTTGTCTTTGTTATTGTTTTTTTAATTCATCCACTTTAAGTAAAATGTCTTTACTATGAGTAGGGTCAGCAAAAGAAAACAAGAGGAAGCCCTTGGAGTCTAAACATATATTGTCTACCTGTGTAATTTAGGCTAAACTACTTTTCCGATTTTCTAACCAAAAGTTCTTGGTTGGCACTACTGCAGAGATTAGTTAAAGGAGTTAAAGTGTCCCTCCTGATAACTGGAAATAAGAAGATGGTGTTCCCATGTGTCCCACCAAGGGACTAAATCCTCAAGGATCGCTAGAGAACTTCTTTCTCTTCTAGGTGATCATCGTCTTGCCCTTCTTTTGTCCCAGCTGGTGGGTAGCCAGTCAGTCCGGGAGCTGCTAACCATGCAGCTGGCAGATTGGCATCAGCTCCAGGCCGACTCCTTCATCCATGATGAGAGACTGCGCATCTTTGCCCTGTTAGCTGGAAAACCGGTATCTCACCCTTTTCTCATTAACTTGCATAAGCTATCTCACAAATTTAATATTGGAGTAAAGAGCTAATTTTGTAAATTGCACACTATCATACATAACTGGAGGATCTCTAGTGGCACTGGAGTGCAGATAGGCAGTTCAAATCCACCAACTATTCCATGGGAGAAACATGAGACTTTGTGCTCCAGTAAAGGTTTATAGTTTCAGAAACCCTTTGGAGGGGTCACTATGAGTCAGAACTGATTCAACAGCCCCTAACAACAGCAACAATATATAACATGTGTAACTAGGCAGGTTAATTTTTAATGAAAATATTTTCAAATTATACAGAATGTGTACACTCTAAAGTTAAAATACTTTTCTTGTAGAGGTGTTGTAGGTTCCTATATATTTTGGAAATTAGTCCCTTGTCTGATGTTTCGTTGCAAAGGATTCTTTTCCCATTCTGTGGGCTCCCTTTTTACTCTTGATGAAGTCTTTTGATGCACGTAAGTTTTTAGTTTTTAGTATGTCCCATTGATCTGTTTTGTCTACTTTTGTTTGTTTAATTTTCAAAATGTTTGGTAGTCTGTGTATGCCCTGTATTAGAGCTCTCACATTTGTCCCTATTTTTTCATTGATGGCCTTCATAATTCTGGGATTCACAGTTAGTTCTTTAATCCATGTTGAGTTGGTTTTTGTATAAGGTGTGAGGTAAAGGTCTTGTTTCAGTCTTTTGCATATCACTTTCCAATTCTGCCAGTACCATCTGTTGAAGAAACTATCTCCTCCCCATGCAATATACTTAGGTACTTTGTGGAAATCAGTTGGCTGTATGTGGATGGGTTAATTTCTGGATTCTCGATTCTGTTCCAGTGACCAATGTATCTTTCATTATACCAGTACCAGGCTGTACAGTGTTTTGTACAGTACCCGTACAGTGTTTTGACCACTGTAGCCGTGTAGTAAATTTTAAAATTAGGGAGTGAGAGGCTTCCGACCTTGTTCTTTTTCTTAAGCAGTGTTTTGCTTATCCTGGGCCTCTTTCTTTTCCATATAAAGTTTGTAATTGTTTTTTCCATCTCTTTGAAGACTGTTGTTGGATTCTGGATTGGGATTGCATTATATGTGTAAATTGCTTTGGGCAGTATTGACATTTTCACAGTGTTATGTTTTCCTATTCAGAAGCATGGTATATTCTTCCACTTTTGTAAGATTCTCTTGGTTTCTTGTAGTAGTGCTATGTAGTTTTCTTTGTATAGGCCCTTTGTTTCTCTGGTTACATTTATTCCTAGATAATTCATCCTTTGGGTGGCTATTGTAAATGGTATTGTTTTCCTAATGTCCATTTCAGCACTGTTGTTAATTGGTATAGAGGACTGCAACTGATTTTTGGATGTTGATCTTATACCCTGCCACTTTGCTGAAATCCTCCAATGATGTCTCGTAGCTTTTTTACTGAGTCTTTAGGGGTTTCTATGTGTAGTGTCATATCGTCTGCAAATAAAGAGTTTTACTTCCACTATGCCAATTCTGAAGCCTTTGATTTCCCTCTCTTGTCGTAGAGCTCTGGCTAAGATTTATGTAGGCTGTTGGTTTTGTATATATGCGCTTGATTATGTTGAGGAATTTCCCTTCAATTACTACTTTGTTGAGTGTTTTTATCAGGAATGGATGTTGGATTTTGTCAAATGCCTTTTCTGCATCAATCGATAGGATCACGTTTTTTTCTTTTTTCTTGTTTATATGGTGGATTACATTGATTGTTTTTCTAATGTTGAACCATCCTTGCATCCCTGATATGACTCCCATTTGGTCATGATGTATTAATTATTTTTGATGTACTGCTGGATTCTGTTGGCTAGGATTTTGTTGAGACTTTTTATATCTATGTTCATGTGGGATATAGGTGTATAATTTTCTTTCTTAGTGATGTCCTTCCCTTGTTTTGGCACAAGGGTTATGCTTGCTTCATAAAATGTATTAGAAAGTTTTCCATCCTCCTCTATTTTCTGGAATAATTTGAGTAGAATTGGTGACAGCTCTTCCCTGAATGTCTGGTAAGCCTCACCAGTGAAGCCATCTGGGCCTGGACTTCTTTTGGTTGGGAGTTTTTTGATAACCTGATCAATTTCTTCTATTATTATGGGTCTGTTCAAATCTTCTACTTTACTCTGTGTGAGTTTAGGTAGGTCATGTTTTTCTAAAAATGTATCCATCTCTAATAAGTTTTCTTAAAATTTGTTGGAGTATAACTCTTCATAGTATTCTGTTATTATCCTTTTGATTTCCTTTGGTTCTATTGTGACATCACCCATGTGGTTTCTAATGCATGTTATTTGTGTCTTCTCCCTCTTTTCTTTTGTTAGGTGTGCCAGTGGTTTGTCAATTTTGCTAATCCTTTCAAAGAACCAGCTTCTTGTCCTGTTGATTCTCTCTATAGTTTTTCTGTTTATTATCTCATTTATTTCTGCTCTGATTTTTATTATTTCTTTTCTTTTGGTGACTGTAGGTTCACTCTGTTGGTCTGTTTCTAGTTGCTGGAAATGCTGTATTAATGTGTTAATTTTGATTCTTTCTTCTCTTTGGATGTGCGCATTTATCACAATAAATTGTCCTCTCAGCACCGCTTTCGCTGTGTCCCAGAGATTTTGATATATTGTGTTTCGTTCTCGTTGGTTTGTAGGAATTTTCTGAATTCTCATTTAATTTCTTCTATCATCCAGTCGCTCTTCAGCAGGGTGTTATTCCGTTCCATGTATTAAACTTTATTTCCTTGGTCTTCCTATTGTTGATTTCTAATTTTATGGCTTTGTGGTCTGAATAGATGCTCTGTAATATTTTGATGTTTGTAAATTTATGGAGGCTTGCTTTGTGACCTAACACATGATCTATTTTGGAGAATGTTCCATGTGCACTAGAAAAGAATATGTATTGTGCCAGGGGACAGGTGTGTGGGGCGCACCTTTTGGTTGCTTGATGATGCATGCAGGGAATTGTGATCATTGCAATGAAACAAAATACTATAGTATGAATGTAAAGATAATGGTCACCCATGCAAACTAACACATAATTCACAATAAAAACTTTTTTTAAAAAATAAATTTAATCAGCTTCTGCATTTGAATGTATGAGGAACTTGGAATAAAAGGAAATTTTTATCTTTCAGTGTTATTGAATGAAGATATTTAACACCAAGCAATCAGTCATTATTCAGTTACTTTTTATTATGTTATTATCCATTATAAAGCCTGATAAATAATTTCACAGCATTTCATGACTAGAAATAAATTATTCATAGAAAAAACATTAAAATACTAATTATATAGAAATTCGTATACCATATCTCATATCATAGAGATACATAATATAATTTACTGTTTTTCCATATACTATATCTATTTCACATATGTGTGTGCATATTTACAGCTGCAAGGGTACTCAGGGACACTGTCGAATAAGCGTTGTACCACGAACCAGAGCCACTGGCTCGATCCCACCAAATGTGCTACAGGAGAAAGATGAGGCTTTCTGCTCCCACAAAGATTTACAACTTCGGAAACCCTATACAGGGTCGCTGTGAGTCAGAACCAACTCAACAGCACTTAAAAGCAACATTCACAAGTAAAATCTGTGATACACAGCAGTTTTACAAGTTGATTGTTTTTTTACTTATTGTATATGGACTTTCATGACCACATCTGTTGCATTATATGGATGATGTATTAGAGTTTTTAAAGTCCATTTCTCTATTGCTGCTTATCTGTTTATCTTCTAGAGTCAATTCTCAAAACTAAAACAGCTGATCAGACTTTATGCAGAAAGATGAAGTGCTTTCCCTAAGGTCACAGTTTTATAGACTACCAACCGTGGCTTAGTGGCTCTCATCGCTTTTCTCAGAGTGCTGATTGTTTGTTTAAATCCACCCTTCTCCTGAAACCAAGGGAAAATGCATTTTAGATCTGTATTGTTAACACTGGCATCTAGAGTGTTTAAAACATTACTTAAAAGAGTGAATAACTTTTAAATACAGGTAGTAACAAGTTAACTTAGAGATTTGATGATTTTGTATCTTGCAGGTGTGGCAACTCTCAGAGCAAAAGCAAATCAATGTGTGCTCTCACCTGGATTGGAAACGCTCTCTGGCTATCCATCTTTGGTATCTTCTTCCACCCACAGCTTCCATTTCCAGAGCACTGAGCATGTATGAAGAAGCATTTCAGGTATGTGTCCAGTAGAGTTAAGTAAGAGTCTTGATATTCTGTCTTTACCAGTAAAGTTCTGTAGAGAAGAAAAAAATGCCACTTAAGGTACTGTTTACTAACTGCCGGTATTGAAAGTACCATAATATTGAACTGACCCAGAAAATCTAATTTAAAAAAAAAACCTTTTTCCTTTTCTCCTTCCTGTAGATAAGGCTACGCTTAAATTTCTCCAAATGTCTGCTTTCTTTTTATTTAATATGATGAGCTTTCATACCTGACTTCTCACTGATACTTTTCTGCCCTGAAACTAAAGGGGTTTCTTGTTCCCTAAAGGAGCTCTGGTAGTGTAGTGGTTACAAATCAGGCTGCTATTCTCATGGTCAGCAGTTTGAAACTACCATCTGTTCCACGGGAGAAAGAGGAGGCTTTCTGCTCCCATAAAGATTTATAGCCTCAGAAATCCTATGCAGGGTCGCTGTGAGTCAGAACCGACTCAATGGCACATCACAACAACAATGCTGTGGAGACTCTAGTAGCATAGTGGTTACAAGTCGGGCTGCTAATCTCAGCAGTTTGAACTAGCAGCAGTTCTGCGGGAGAAAGGTGAGGCTTTCTACTCCTGTAAAGATTTACAGCCTTGGAAACCCTATATAGGGAAACTGTGGGTTGAAACCAACTCCACGGCATACCACCCCCCACCTCCTTTAGTATTTCTCTGAGGTACTGCTTGGCCCAAAGTTTTGGATAGCCTCAAATTAGCAAATCTAAATATATGCCTCAAAATATAGTCCATAATCTCTATCAGTGTTGAGGTTAAGGTATTATTATTATTGCTATTAATACCATTCTTTTGTTTTCTTCTGACTTTTAATTGTGAACTAAGTGAAGGTTTACAGAGCAGATCATCATTAAACAAATCATATACTTTGGTTCATCTCAATAATTGCATTCCCTTCAATGTAACATCACCTTTCTCACGTATTCTCTGATTTCTGTTTCCATTCCATCCTTTTTTCCCAATGCTTCCGAATTTTGTCCTTAGGTAAATGCTGCCTTTTTCTCAAATGATTGAGCCACTCTATAGTGTGCGTACCTCACTAATGTTGTCCCCGCTGTATACTTATTTCTTGCTTGGCTGAAAATTGAGCCATGAGGGAAGAGTTTTCTTCCAGACCTGAAGAGTACCAAGGGCCATAGTCTGGGGTTCCACCAGTCTATCTGACTAGTAAGCCTAGTCTTTTTTGATTACTTGCGTTTTGTTGGACACTTCCTCCCACTTTACCTAGGATCTTCCTTTCAGAACAGTTAATGGTGATAGGCGCATCATCTATTTCTTCGGTTTTCAGAGTCGTGGAGACTAATATTCACGTGCTTTATTAGTCCATTTGACTACTTGTTTCCGTATGTCCTCAGTTTTCATCATTCTTCTTTCCTCTAGACAATGAGATACTAATATTTTCACCGAGATGGATGCTCTTGAACTTTTAAGATGCCAGTCACTACTCAGCAAAGTAGGATATAGATTATTGTCTTTTTTGTCTGTTGGTGTCTCCCAAGACTATGAATACCATTATTTAAAAAAAAATTTTTTTTTGGTATTGAAAAAATTTATATTTAGAATTAGCCAGCTGGACTCAGTTTGTTGTTTGGAGTCAGTTCCAACTCACAGGAACCATGTACAGGGTTTCCCAGGCTGTAAATCTTTATGGGAACAGAAAGTCTCATCTTTCTCCCGCAGAACAGCTGGTAGTTTCAAACTGCTGACCTTGAGGTTCGCAGCCCGATTTGTAACCACTACGCTATCAGAGCTCCTGGACTCAGTTTGTTGTTGTTGTTTTTAAATGCCATCGAGTCGGTTCCGACCCATAGCGACCCTGTATAGGGTTTCCGAGGAGCAGCTGGTGAGCTTGAACCACTGACCGTGCAGTTCAAACAGCTTTGCAGTCTGGTGCATTAACCCACAGCGCTACACCAGGACTACAGACTCAGTTTAGATGATCCCAAATTTGTTGGCAATATCTGAAGCATCCTAGTCGGAAGCCAGTGGAACATATGCCTTGTTTTCTCATCAGCTTTTTCTGATCAAGGTGTTGACCTTGGCTGTATTAATATCATAGAGCTCTTCACAGCCTAGTTGAGTTGGTGCTTATTGGCCTTGACATCCACGATGAACACAAGTGTGTTGTTATCTTCAGTCTTCTTCTTGGCTGACTCAGTAGTCAGAGGGAACTTGATGACGGCATAGTGGTCAAGCTTGTTTCTCCTGGGGCCACTCTTCCGGGACATTTGGGCTGCCTTCAGAGCCTCAGAGTCCTGGGCCGCTGGAAGGTGGGTGACATGCAGATGTTCCTTTTTTTGTGGCTGTGGATGCCTTTCAGCATAGCCTTCTTGGCCTTCAGTGTCTATGTCCATAATCACTGACACTTTGGCTTCAGCTTTGGGAAGGGCAGGGGCTTCCTTCTTTGCTTTCGGTGCCATCTCTGTAAAAAGTTATTTCTTGAATTCTTAATGTTCATGTTTGTTGTTGCTGATACTGTTTGTCAGAATTACTTGTCAGGAAAAATAAACTGAGTCTGATAAGATTGTTGACAAGAAGTATAAAGACTGGTGTGATATTGTAGAATAAGCACTGGACTGCTAACTCTAAGATCAGTGGTCCAAATCCACCAGCCACTCCATGGAAGCCATGATACTTGATGCCACTTAATAACAACAACCAGGAATCTTAAGTCTGGTGGAGTATGCCACTAACAAATTGTTGTTGTTGTTGTTGTGAGTTGAGTCAGGGTTTACAGAGCAAGTCATCAGTTTTACATTCAACAAATCATATACTTTGCTTCATTACATGTGTGCAATCCCATCCATGTACCAACAGTTAACAGCATTTATCTCTGTTCATTTTAACTATTACATTCCTCCCTGTTTCTCCCACTAACTTCATCTTTCCTCTGCTATCCTCCCTCTTGTATATTGCCTGACCTGTCACTCATGTTAACATGAGTCCTGGTATGGCACACACTGCAGGTTAATGTGCTAAAATGCAAGGTTTGAACTACAAGGTTGGCGGTTCAAGCTCACCAGCTGCTCCTCGGAAACCCTATACAGGAGTGCTATTAGTCAGAACTGACTCAACAGCGCTTAACAACAATAGCCCTTTTGGCCATGAGTAATCCCCCCATCCAAAATCTATAACCATCATAGATTGTTTCTTTTATCAAGAAGACCTTTTTTTTTTTTTTTTTTAACTTTTTACAACAATTGTTTTTGTTGTTAAGTGCCATTGAGTGAGTTCTGGCCCACAGCAACCCTATATAGGGTTTTCGAAGAGCAGCTGGTGAATTTGAACTGCCAGCCTTGCAGTTCAGATGGCTTTGCAGTCTGGTGCATTAACCAACAGCGCCACACCAGGACACCTTTACAACATTGGTCCCCTGTAATGTTTGTCCTTTTGAGATTGACTAATTTCACTCAGTATAATGTCCTCCCAGTTAAACTATGGTGTGAGGTGTTTCACAGATTCATCATTATTCCACATTTTGTAGTATTCTATAGGGTCGCTATGGGTCAGAACTGACTCGATGATGGCACTTAACAACATTTTGTGTATGTAACAAGTTTGTGTAACCATTTTTCTTTTGATGGGCGTTGTCTGTCTCCATCTTTTTTATATGTCTCCTATAGAGAGCATAAGGAGCTCTGGTAGCGTAGTGGTTACGAATCGGGCTGCGAACCTTAAGGTCAGCGGTTCGAAACTACCAGCCGCTCCGCGGGAGAAAGATGAGGCTTTCTACTCCCGTAAAGATTTACACCCTCGGAAACCCTGTACAGTGTCGCTATGGGTCGGACCCGACTCGATGGCACTTAACAACAACAACAACAATAAAGAGCATATTGACAGATTCAGTTTTCTTATCCATTCTGCCCTCTTGACTAGTATTTTAATCCATTTATATTCTCTGTAATTATCAATAGGTATGAATTGATGTCATTTTTTTGTGGGTTTTTTTTTGTTGTTGTGCTGCTAGATTCTTTTTATAACATAATTTTCTATGCTGAGTTCATTTTTTGTTTTAAGTTTTTTTTTTCATTTTCATTTCTGTTGTGTTAATGTTTATTAAATCTTTCTGATTTTCATATCGTTTACTAAATCTTTCTCATTTTCTTATCTTTTTATTTTGATGTACAGGTGTATTATTTTTCTTTGAGGTTATCCTGTAATTTATTAATTTTTTATTGCTTAAAACAGCCTGTTTTATCTTGAAATCTACTTTCCTTCCTTGCCATTTGGAAGTTCTGTATCTACACATTTCCTCTTTTTGCTTTATAATTGACTTCATTATATGTTGCTATCTCTGGTTCCCTGTTTTTCAGTCTTGTAAGTTTGTTTTACTTCAAATCTATATCTGGATTGATTTCTGCGTAGTTTTGTCATGCATGTTAATTTCAGGTGGTTGTCTGCTGTTGTTGGTTCTCAGCCCAAAGAACACATTTAGCTTTTTTTTTTTTAAAGTTGGTCTGATCATTGCAAATTCCTTCTTTTCGGTTTATCAGGAAAAGTCCTAATTCCACCCTTGTATTTGCAGGACAGCTTTGCTGGATATATAATTCTTGGTTGGCAATTTTTTTCTTTCAGAGTTTTGTGTATGTCATTCCATTGTCCTCTGGCCTTAGGTTTCTGCTGATAAGCCAGAGCTTAATCATACTGGTTTTCCGTTGTAGGTAACTTAAATTTTTCCCAAACTGCTCTCAAAACTCTTACCTTGTCTTTGATTTTGAAAGTGTGATTGATATGCCTTAGTGATTTTCTTTTGGGAGCTATCCTGTTTGGGATTAATTCCGCTTCTTAGATGCTTATCGTCTCGTTTTTCATGATGTTAGGTAAGTTTTCCTCACACAACTCTTCGACAATTGTGTGCTTATGTCTCCTGTTCTGAAATTACAATCACCTATATGTTGTTCCTCTTCATGGTGTTCACACGTAACTCTTAGGCTTTCTTCTGATTATTTCCTATTCTTTTTCTGATTGTTCTAACATACTAGCATTGAGAGATTGATCTTCAAGCTCACTAATTTGGGCTTCCATTGCTTCACATCTACTCCTTAGCCATTTCAATGTACTGTCCATTTCTGAGATTGTAGTATTAATCTTCTGGATTTCTAATTGCAGGTTTTGTATTGTTTCAAAATATTAATTTATTTTGTCTGTTTGTTTTTGTAGTGTTTTCCTGAATTCTCCTAAACTTTTTATTGTGTTTTCCTTGCTTTCTTCAATGTTTCTAATTATCATTCTTTTGAATTCTTTCTCAGTTAGTCCACATTACCTTTTCTAACACAGAATGGTTTTCTGTCTTGCCCTCTTGGTCATTTGTTTGAACTATTCTCTCATGTTTGAATTCGTGTGATCTAACATTGTCTATTATCTCTGGGGCATTGTAAGGTTGTCATATTTATAAATACAAACAGAAGTTGTTGGGCCAGGAGGCAAGAAATTTGGGGGTAGTGGGGGCTCTTGCAATTCAAGGAGTTCACATGGTGGTTATAGAAGGGATGTGACAGCAGAGTTTCTTACCCTAGATGGAGTTCCTATTGGCTTCAGTGTTACCTGTGTTCAGGGCACTCATTCCAGACATAATTTGTGGGGGCCCTTGATAGAATTGGTTCAGTGTCTATTAAGACCACAGGAAAATAAGTCCAGGAGCCGAAGTTCCTGGAACCATCAAGGGAGAAGAGTGGAGTACGAGACCCTACCCAGAGAAGCAGTGACGCCAGAGATGGAGGCAGAGACGATGATGTGGAGAGATGGAGCAGCTGGGGACTCTAGACTCAGGGAGGGGGCTGTGTCCTGATGACTTGGGGTCAGGCTTGCAGGGTATACCCTTTGGTTGGTTGATGATGCATAGAGGGGGTTGTAACTATGGCAATGAAATGATATACAATAGGATGATTGTAAAAGTAATGTTCTCCCATGTAAACTATCACATAATTCACAGTAAAACATTAAAAAAAAAAACCCACAGGGAAGCTGGGGCAGTGTGACTTGGTCTGGTGGCTCTGTGGGTTTTGTAGATCTAGAGCTGAGCCCACCTGAATCCATTCACCAGAACAGCATAGCTAGCCCCTACTCACACTGGAATGGTTCCCACGACTTGGCTCTGAACTCCCAGAGAACAGGGTCATTGCTTGGGGTGGGTTAGGGTGGGAGCTGGCCACACACTGATCACCAGGGGAACATGGGGAAAAAGAAGAAATCCCACCTTTTCTGTCACCCACGCGTCTGTTCTGCCAGGCCTCCTCCCTCCACTGCCAAAGCTGCTCACAAGATGGTTGAGCTGTGTCTCACCAGCCATTCACCAGTCTTCTTCTCACCATCCCTGCTTGGCCTCTTGTCCCAGAAAGCACTCCATCCACCTCTCTGACCTTTCTTCTGAAGTTCAGGGTGCCAACATTTTCATCTGTGTCTGTTTGATTTTGTCTCATATCTTTATTATAGAGAGTCTGTGTACTGTATCTGCCTAGTCCAACACCTTACTGGAAGTCTGGCTCAAGTTTAAAGTTCTTGATAAATACCTTGGAGTGTTCCATTGTTCTTAATGTGCGTATTTAAATAATTGAGACACAGAGCATCTAATGACACAGACTGAACACACTTCTCACTGAACAGCATGATTAGGTTGCAAAAAATGTCAAACTGTAGGATGAGCACATCAGATGACATAATGGAGAATAAGCACATCCTTATATAACTGCCAAACCACTGAGAATCATGTCTCAGCCAGGTTGACACATAACTATCACGGTCAGCAAGCAGCACTCTCACCTACTACTTCACATGTGTTCATTACAGCCAAGTGTATATTGTTAATGCACAAAGTAATCAGATAGTATGTAAAACGTTTTTAAAAAAGGTACCACAGGGAAGCTGGGGCAGCATTTATTGTCATAAATGCAAAATGTCCATAGGTATAGTAGCTGATATATTGTTGTATCAAACTTTTCCCTTCAGAATACCTCTGAGGGTGACAGATACGCCTGTTCCCCACTTCCTTCATACCTAGAGGGCTCTGGCTATATGATAGAAGAGGAACAAGATTCACGGAGACCACTTCGAGATGTCTGCTTTCACCTTCTGAAACTTTACAGTGACAGGTAAACCAGAGCCAAGAATTATAGTCACTTGAGGGCTCCCTAATTTCAATAGTCCTTTTCTGATTCCTTTCCTTTTCTGTACTACCAGATTGTCATGAGTCTGTATAAATCATCAAATGTTAACAGAGCATTGTAACTAGAATTGGGTAGACAATTCAAACCACATGTGGCTAGTAGCTATTATCCTAGTTGAGGCAGATGATAGAATATTTCCATCACTATATAAAATCTGTTGAGCAATATTAGTCTAGAAAACTCCACCCATCACTTAGAGAAGCATTAGGAAAGTTGTGTTGTTGTTGTTTTTTAAGTGGGATTTTAGGGGAAAGACAAAAGAGGATGTAAGTATTGTTCAGTGATCTAAATCTTAGATCATTAAAATTTACACATGTAGGATCTTAGTTTATACTACTTTCATGATCTGGGATTTGCACACTAAGAATTTAACACATAAGCTGGTCTATGACCATTGAAATCTTTGGGTCCCCAGATTGTAGGGACATTTTCAAAACTCAGGACACCTGGATTTCTAAATAAAGACCCCTTCAAGCTACAATAGGAAATAACCATCATAAAGTCTAGTTAGCTGCTCAGATAAACAGGAAAATTGGTACCCCAACAACTTCAAATAAAGACAAATACTAAGGTAATGATGTTTTTTAAATGTGTAAGAAAAGTAATAGACACTTGGGATGAAGGAATGGAAGGGTTAGAATTATGAACATTTCTTGAACTGAGAAGGTAAAATATATAGGTCAAACCAATGTCGGCAAAGCTGTTACAGAAGAAAAGGTACCTTTGATTTTTGGGGGGGTTTTTGTAGAATCTACAATCTGATTGAACCTAAAGTAAATTGATAAACAGCACAATCTCAGGGTGGGCAAGGCCTCTCATGATTTTGTCCTTCATTGGCTTCTAAAACTTAGCCAGAACTTGTAACCTTTTAGATGCAGGTGGTCTGCTGGGCTGGCTCAATATGGCACATACTTAGTAACTCTCATGGTACATTGTCCTCTATAGACATTATGACCTCAACCAGCTGCTAGAACCTCGAAGCATAACAGCAGATCCCTTGGACTACCGCCTAAGCTGGCATTTGTGGGAGGTGCTGCGTGCTCTTAACTACACCCATCTCTCCGAGCAGTGTGACGGTGTGCTACAGGCCAGCTATGCTGGTCAATTGGAGAGCGAGGGCCTCTGGGAGTGGGCCATCTTTGTTCTGCTGCACATTGCCAACTCAAGGTGAGTGAAAGGCCACCAAACCCACCTAGTATGTCTCTTAGAGTCAATTTAGCAAGTAAATATTTAGCATGTATTCTAGGGTCTATTCTTGTGATAAACTTAAGGGCAGTTCAGCCCCTAGCTCAAACTGTCTATACCTGTCAACTAGTTAGAAGTGAGACAAGTGCCAATGTGCTACTACTTATCATTAGGCTTCTCAGTAGTCTGAGATCTCTGTGGAATACAGTGATAAGGAAAAAGTCTTTACAGAGAGAAGATTCAAGGAGCCTATAAAATAAGAATAGAAAATAGGAAGTGGAAAAGGGTTGGGTATGATTGAATGGTGCAACAGCATGGCAGAGATTCACTGGACTGTGGCATGTTTAAGGATAGTGCTAGCTAAGCTCTCAGATTGCATCCATGGCAGTGATGTCATGGGGTGGGCGGGGGGAGCTTCTGCTTGTTCTCTTGTCTATAGCCATTCCCTTGTCACTAACCACCTCAGCCCCTCAAGTTTAATACCCTTCTATTTGCCAGTACAATCCTGTGCTCAGGCACTAAATATGTATTAATGTAGTGCTTCTAGATGTTTTTACGTAAGTATATATGTTGTTGTTAAGTGCCTTTGAGTCAGTTCTGACTCATAGCGTCCTTATATAGCGTTTCCGAGGAGCAGCTGGTGAATTTGAACCGCCGACCTTGCATTTCAAACTGACCTTGTGGTCCCAGTGCATTATTCCACAGTGCCACACCAGTACTCCTATATTCTGTTTTAAGTATGTAAGTTAACTCATTTCATGCTCATAATAAAGCTATGAGATTGACATTACTAGCTCCATTTTACAGATGAGCAACTTAAGGCAAGAGAGATTGAATAGCTTTTGCTTATAATCACACAACTAGTCAATGACATAGTGAAGTTTCCAACTCAGACACCAGAATCTGTGTTCTTAATCACTGTGTTGTACTTAATCACTATATTTGTACAAGGGTGAGTCAAAAATTATCCACATTCTGGTTATTAACACCATTCACATCCATGGCTGATGACAACATTGAGCATTTGTGTGAAATGATTCTTAGACAAATGACAGTGAATTCTGTGGCAAATCATTTGCAAATCAGCCATTGCTCTGCCTATGAAATAACACATGACAAATTTGGGTTTCAAAAAGTTTGTGTGAGATGGTCACCAAGACAACTCATGGAAGATCATAAACAGAAGTGTTTGGAAATCTGCAAACAAAATTTGAACCAGTATTCGAAGGACAGTAAAAGTTTCTTAACAAAAATTGTTACAGGTGACGAGGCATGAATTTCATGAGCTTGAAAGTCAGTGACTTAGTATGGTATGGAAACATCCTACATCACTGACCAAGGAAAAATTCAAAAGCCAACCATTAGCTAGAAAATTGATGCTTACAGTTTTCTGGGATTCTCAGTGGCCGGTATTAGAACACTACCAGGAAAAAGGGTTCAACAATCAGCAGCTCTTATTACAGTGAGATGCTCACTGAAGAGCTGAAGCCTAAACTGCTTAAATTCAGAGGACTGCTATCTAAGGGCCTTGTGACCTTGCATTAGTCTGCACATTGCATGCCTCTGTTCACAGTTACAGAAACTTCATTTTGAGGTGTTAAAGCATCCCCCTATAGTCCTGATCTTGCTCCATCGGACTTCACCTGTTTGGTCCCCTGAAAGCAGCCCTTCAAGGGTGCAAATTCACCTCTGATGCAGAAGTGAAGACAGTGGAGCATTCGTGGCTCACACCTCAGTCTAAAACATTTTTAATAAGAGAATATGAAAGCTTGTTGACAGATGGACAATAAATTCTGCAGCCAGGGTGCATATAATTTTTGACTCACCCTCATACACTGGAGAAATAAGTTGGGTTTTAGAGTTAGACCTGCCTAAATGCTGGGTCTACCACATACCAGTCACTTTAGACTTTGGTTAAAGATTATACTCTTCAAATCTTTGTTTTTTAATCAGAAAATATTCATAATTCAAAGGTGATTGTGAGATTAAAGGGATAAAAATGGAAAACATCTAGCACCGTCTTCCTTTAAGCAATTTCTCTTTCCTCTTCCCTCTTACTCATGGGCGATTTCACAGGACAAAATACTCCTTGATAGGATGACTGATGGAATGAGTTGACTGTGGGGAAACAGATCCTGTTTCCTAAAAAACAATGTAAATATAAAAAAGAATCAGCTTTGTAATCATTGCAATGAAATGATGAGTGTAAAACTGATGGTCTCCTGTGTAAACTATTAATTCACAATAAAAACTTTTTAAAAAGAAATCAGTTGTGATAAAATTAGTTTTTGAAGAGCCTGGGAGTTCTCAAAAGAGTCCAAGGTAAGAAAGAATAGTTAAAGATGCAAAACTTAAAAGGACTACTCCTAGTATTCAATCTGACTAGGCAGAACTGATGCAATGAAATGCAGATGGGTCTCTTGGGATACAATAGTGAATAATTGTTATCAGGACTGACTGTGAGGGTTGGAAATGTAAAGGTGGACGTTATATAGCAAGGAAGGGGTAGTGATTGACTTTTCAGTCTAGGAGCGAAGGTCCCTAGGACCATCAAGGGAGAAGAGCAGAGAGCGGGACCCTACCCAGAGAAGCAGTGATGCCGGAAATGGAGCCAGAGATGATGACGTGGAGCTATGGAGCAGCTGGAGACTCTAGACGGAGAGAGGGAGAGCGACTGTGTGCTGAAGACCTGGGGGGCACAGGGGAAGGATTGCATGGAGGGGATTGTAACCATGGCAATGAGATGATATAAGATAGAATGAATGTAAAACTTATGATCTCCCATGTAAACTATCACATAATTCACAATAAATCATTTAAGAAAAAAAAAAAAAAAGACTACTCAAGTAGTGAAGACTCTTGTTCATGGGCCTAAGGAGTCAATTCACAAAGAGTGAATTTTGCTTAGATCTAGAGGTAGAGAGAAGATGAATTAAGAAGGCTAATAACTTTAAGACCTGGAAGAAACCTTACCTTAAAAACTACTTTCTTATACTGGCTATGCAGAAGAAAGGGAAGGGTGGGGATGAATTGCAGAGGACTGATTGGTGAAACAGAATTCTTCTACTTCAATCCTTACCTCCCCGCTGGTGGTAATGAAATGTTAACTAGAGAGGAAATAATGACAGGATTCCAGCTGGGAAAAGGCTCTGGGGAGTAGGCAGCCTTCCTTTATTTTTCCTTAGTTATTTTTGATTTTCAGAATTGTTGACCATAAAAATACATATAAATGATGTTCTCAAATACTTTCTATTCTGTTTCCTTTAAAAATAAATGCTGGTCTGATGGCTTTTAATTGCTTAGGAAGTTTGAAGTGATCCACTAAGATTCTAGACCTGCAGTTTGAAAGATTCTCTCAGGAGCACTCTGAACTGTTGGGGCAGCCTTTTCCATGAATATAGATGAATTTCATCTAACTTAAACTGTTCGTGAATCCTGGTGTGACACTGTAGGATAAGCAATGGACCATAATGTCAGTTTGAATGGCAAGGTTGGCAGTTCAAACTCACCAGCCACTGCTTGGAAACCTTATATAGGGTTTTTATGAATCAGAAACAGCTCAATGGCACTTACTAACAACAACATCCTTCTTATAGCATGCGTGAGAAGGCTGTCCGAGAGCTGCTCACCCGGCACTGCCAGCTGTCAGAGACACCGGAGTCTTGGGCTAAGGAGACTTTCCTGACTCAGAAGCTTTGTGTGCCTGCTGAGTGGATCCATGAAGCCAAAGCAGTGCGAGCACGCATGGAATCTAACAAGCACTTGGAAGCTCTCTATTTATTTAAAGCTGGACACTGGAACTGCTGCCACAAACTTGTCATCCGACACTTAGCTTCTGGTGAGTATTTCAGACTGGGGCCTTAGTCTCCCAAAGTTACCCCAAACTCTTCCAACATCTGAATCTCCATGATGGTCAACTCTTAAATGTAAGGTTCAGGTCACAGAGGCTGCTCAGGACAGGACAAGGCAGATGTGAATCAAATTACATTAGGAGAAAGCTATCTGTGCCAAAGACGTGTGGCCAGGATGGGGAGCTAGAGGGCAGGGGTAGGCAACAATATTGTCAACTTAAAATTTACCAGGGATATTCCTAATTATTAATTATATTAATTGTATTAAGCTCTTGTTTCTTTAGGAAAATTTCATTCACCAGTTTCAGAAATGCCTGCTTGGGGCCATGAAGTCCAAAAGTTCTTTCTACTTTCGTTTAGAGAATCCCAGAATATTTATTATTATTTTCAAGTCTGACCCAACATTATTTCCCTTAGATTTCTGCATGTCTTCCCTGCACTTTTACAAACTATGTACTTGTGCAGACATAGTGCTTAGTTTTTGAGTTGTTTTTTTTTTTTTCTTTCAGATGCCATCATTAATGAGAACTATGACTACCTGAAGGGGTTCTTGGAAGACCTAGCACCTCCAGAGCGCAGCAGTCTAATTCAAGACTGGGATACATCTGGGCTTGTTTACCTGGACTATATTCGGGTCATTGAAATGCTCCACCGTATCCAGCAGGTACCTGAGCTCCCTAAATAACTGCCTGCTTTACTTTCCTCAGGCCCTTGAAGCTTCAGAGGCATTATCAGCCACTCAAAAAAAGGTACTTGACAGTACCTATTCTGTAGGAGGAACATTTTCAGGATGCTAATTTGATGTCATTTTGACAGTTGCATTAAAAGTTTTAAACATTTTTGATGTTTATTATCTATAGCAATGCGTACAGTACTAAAGGCTTAGCCATAGCCAGTCTCCTTCCCTTGTCCAGCCCTAGTGAGAATGAAAAGCTCAGAGGTGAAAGAGAAAGGAAGGCCAGAGGTTTGGTTTCACATATCATTTGACATGTTTAAAAATTGCAAGTATTAGGGTTGTTTTAGTCTTCATTAAAGTCTTAGGTCAGTCTCAGTAGTCATAAATAGGCCTCCACTGCTTATCGCACAAAGTCCAAACTCTTAAACGTAGGGTTCAGTCCCCTTCAGATGCCCCTATTTTTGCTCCTGTCCAGCCTTGCCAACCTGCTCTACTCATACTTAATTACTTGAATACTTCAACACTCTTACACCATTACTTTCATTCTCATCTGTTAAAATTCAGATTGCTGTTCTACTTCTACCTGTTTTCCCTTTAAGAATTGTTCATATATTTTTACTGATCTTTCTTTGAAGATGTATCTTCTGTTGTTCTAGCTGTTCTAGGGTGGTCTGCTTGTCCTTGCTAGTGGGAATGTCCCACCTCATAAGGATATGGATGGGACTCAGATTCCACCTAAGGTCCTGTATTCTGCAAAGGCTTTGCAAGAGGCCTGTTTCACTGTGCAAGTTCTAGAACTCCTTTTAGGTATTCCAATCAGTTAAAGGCTGAAGATGGGCTTACAAGTTTTCTCTAATCATGTTTCCCAACATTCCTTTGTATCCCACTCAAGTGTCTATTTTACAGTAGTAGGCAAGGGAAACCAATATATGTAAGGCAGTAAAGCATTTTAGTATTATTTCCCCTGTTCAAACTATGCCTAGATCCCTGTATCATAGAACCCTGTTGTTCCAAGGTTGAGCATGCATCACTATTTGCCTCTGTCCCACTTAGGGAAACACTGAGACAAGTTTGCATGGCCTACCTATCTTGTTCTTCTGCCTCCTCCCCCTTCTTGTACTGCCGAACTAAATCCCCGAACTAACAGCCCACCTCCACCCCAACACCACTGTTGTGATTACCTTATATTCCATTAACTCTTTCCTCCATTTAAGACAGTCTATTTTATCCAGTAATCTACCTGACCTTCTCACCACCTGGATCTCTGTTACTCTGTGTTTACCTTCTTTTCACATTGTAATTGTTTTGATCATAGACTAACCTCCAGATCCTCTGTACTTATAATTTTATTCTGTTCTTGACTTATTGATTGAGTTCAGGGTGATGCTGCCACATACATAATTCTCTGGTTGTTGTCTGTTCTTGTTGGTTCTCAGTCCACAGAACTTCCTTTAGGATGTTTTTTTTAGCAGAGTTGGCTTTGGCAAAATCCCTTAGCTTCTGTTTATCCTGGAATGTTTTGATTACATCATCATATTTGATAGTTTTGCTGGGTAAAGGATTCTTGGTTGGCAATTTTTTTTCTTTCAGGGTTTTATATATGTCTCTCCATTGCCTACTTGCCTACTCGGTTTCTGTTGAGAGATCTGAGCTTAATCTGATTTGCTTGCTTTTGTATGTTAAGACTTTTCTTTTCCCTACCTGCTTTTAGGATTCTGTCCTTATCTTTGAGTTTGGAGAGCTTGATTATTATATGCCGTGGTGATTGTCTTTTAGGGTCTATCCTTCCTGAGATTCGTTGAGCTTCTTGAATGCTTATCTTTTCACTTTTCATGATGTTAGGAAAATTTTCTTCCAGGAGCTCTTCAACTATCTCCTCTGTGAACTTGTGTGATTCTTCCTGTTCCGGAATGCCAATAATTCTTAAGTTATTCCTCTTCATGTTGTCCAACATGAATCTTAGGCCTTCATATTTTTTATTCCTTTTTGTGCTTGCTCTTCTATCTTAGTAGTTTTGAGAGATTTACCTTCTAGCTCACTAATTCTGGCTTCTAGCTATTCAGTTCTACTCTTTTGCCCTTTCAGTGTATTATCCATTTCTGATACTCTATTATGAATCATTTGGACCTCTTTCTGTAGGTTTTGAATTGTTTCCAATGCTGTTACCTTATTTGATTTTTCCTGTAGTGCTTTCCTGACTTCTTCCTTGTTTTTCTCAACTCCATTGTATACTGTTTTGATACATTGTTAAATCATTTTTCTAAATTCCTTCTCAGGCATTTCCAAAGCCTGCCCATCTTCCAGTACAGAATGTAGGTCTACTTCCAGCTCATGTACCTCAGTTACTTTATCTCGTTATTGGACATGTGCTGATATGGTCATTTGTTTCTGGTTTTGGGGCATTTCCAGGAGTTATCTGTGGCCTTAAGACTTAGATGGGTGTGTATTTTGGTATATTTTAAGCTTTCTGATTGTCTCCAGGTAGTTGTGATCAGGAGATGTACTTCTCTTTTCACTCTTCTTTCTTTATCTCTGTGGTTCTGTCAGTTGTCGGTGGCTGCTCTGATCTTCCCCTGCTTGGTCTCCCCCAAGACAGTGGCTCTAGGAGCAGCTGAGCGTCTTGAATTAGAAAGCATTGGATTTCTTGCTTCTGCTACAAATTCCCCTATTTGTAAGCCTTCCAACGTTCTAAATAATCCTTTATATGTGGTTCAGATTCTGGCACCATCCCCTGAGCCTGCTTGGTCCAGTATTCTGTGTTGTTACTGATGGTGGTCCTCACTGCACTTCTACCTGAACCGCCATCTTGTTTGTTCTCTCCCATTTATTTTTTACTACCAAAATAGTTGTTATATTTTTCTACTTTGGTACCTTTTGGACCATATTTCCAGTTTTTTGTTATCTCTTTCTATCTCTCCTCAGATAGTCTGTGAACTGCTTTTGAACAGGTCTTCTTTATTTTAAGGTGAAAGGCAATAGAGTAAAGCAGTTTAGAACTCAAGTTTTAGAGTCAAAACTGTTAGGATAAATCCTGGCTCCCTTACTCGCTAGCCATGTGACTTTGAACCAGTAAACCAGTAAATTAACTTTTTTTTCTCTTATCTGGAGATAGGGATATATAATACATATTTGAAAAGGTTGTCATGAAAATGAAACAAAATATGCATGAAGTATTTAGATTTTTGTTGTTGTTGTTAAGGTGCCACTGAATCGGTACCGACTCATAGCAACTTTACTCACAGCAGAACGAAACACAACCCAATCCTGGACCAACCTCACTATTGTTGCCACGCTTGAGTCCATCGATGCTGCCACTTGGCCAATCCATCTCATTGGGGGTCTTCCTCTTTTTTTCAGACCCTCCCCCTCCATTTTACCAAACATGATGTCCTTCTCCAGTGACTGGTCCCTCCTACAATATGTCCTAAGTATGAGAGATGAAGTTTGGGCATCTTGGCCTCCAAGGAGCACTCTGGCTGCAGTTCTTCCAAAACAGATCTACGGTTCTTTTGGCAGTCCATGGCACTTTCAATAATCTCCTCCAACACCATAACTGAAAAGCATCATTTCTTCTACGGTCTTCCTTATTCACTGTCCAGCTTTCACATGCATATGAGTTTATTGAAAATATCATGGCTTGGGTTAGGCGCACCTTTGCTTTTCAACAGTCTTGTGCAGCAGATTTGCCTAATGCAATATGTCATTTGATTTCTTGACTGCTGCTTCTGTGAGTGTTGATAGTTGATACAAGAAGAATGAAGTACTTGACAACTTCAATCTTTTTTCCATTGATAAAGAATGTTTATTGGTCCAGTGGTGAGGATTTTTGTTTTCTTTACTTTGAGATATAATCCATACCAAAGGCTGTGCTCTTTGATCTTCATCAGTAAATGTTTTAAGCGCAGGTACAGATTCTTCATGAGCACAATTAAGTGTTTAGGAATATTCATACTTCTCAATGTTGTCCATAGCTTGTCATGATCTATAAAATCAAAAACCTTGCACAGTCAATAAAGCACAGGTAAACATCTTTCTGATATTCTCTACTTTCAGCCAAGATCCATCGGACATTAGCAATGATATCCCTCATTCCATGTCCTCTTCGAAGTCAATGTATGATTGTAGCCATTTCTGTATTAATTTTAGTAAAACTTTACTTGCATGGGATATCAAAGAGATTGTCCGATGATTGTGCTCTTTGATCTTCATCAGTAAATGTTTTAAGCCCTCTTCTCTTTCAGCAAACAAGGTTGTATCATCTGCATATTGCAGGTTGTTAATGAGTCTTCCTCCAATCCTGATGCTATGTTTCTCTTCATAGAACCCAGCTTCTCGGATTATTTGCTCAGCATACAGGTTGAATAAGTATGGTGAAAGAATACAACCTTTCTTAATTTTAAAATATACACCTTTCTTAATTTTAAAACATTTCATTGGTCCCATGTTGTGTTTGAACAACTGCCTTTTGGTCCAGGTACAGATTCCTCATGAGCACAATTAACTGTTTAGGAATATTCATACTTCTCAATGTTGTCCATAGCTTGTCATGATCTATAAAATCAAAAACCTTGCACAGTCAATAAAGCACAGGTAAACATCTTTCTGATATTCTCTACTTTCAGCCAAGATCCATCGGACATTAGCAATGATATCCCTCATTCCATGTCCTCTTCGAAGTCCGTCTTGAACCTCTGGAAGGTTTCTGTCAATGTATGATTGTAGCCATTTCTGTATTACTTTTAGTAAAACTTTACTTGCATGGGATATCAAAGAGATTGTCCGATGATTTCCGCATTCTGTTGGGTCACTTCTCTTTGGAATGGGCACAAATACGGATCTCTTCCAGTCAGTCGGTCAGATAGTTGTCTTCAAATTTCTTGGCAGAGATTAATGAGTGTGCCACCTCACATTCTTGAAAGATTTCAAGGTCATATTTTTCATTTTCTTCAGCTTCAGTTTGAATTTGCATATGAGTAATTCATGGTCTGTTCCCCAATCTGCCCTTGGCCTTGTTTTAACTGATGATATGGAGCTTTTCCATTGTCTCTTTCCACAGGTGTAGTCAATTTGATTTCTATGTATTCCATCTGGTGAGTTCCAAGTTGTACAGTCGTCTCTTAATGCTGTCTGAAGAAGGTATTTGAAATGAACAAATGACTGATATTACAGAATTCTATCATGTGTTCTCCAGCATCATTTCTATCACCAAGGCCATACTTTCCAACTACTGATCCTTCCTCTTTGCTCCCAACTTTTGCATTCCAATCACTAATAATGATCAATACATCTTGATTGCATGTTTGATCAATTTCAGATTGAAGAAGCTGGTAGAATTCTTCTATTTCAATCTCACTGGCTTCAGTGGTTGGTTCGTAAATTTGAATAATAGTGGTATTAACTGGGCTTCTCTGTAGGTACATGGATATTATCCTATCACAGACAGCGTTGTATCTCATGACTGAATTGAATATGTTCTTTTTTACAACACCATTCCTCTTCAGTTTGTCATTCCCGGCTTAGTAAACCATGTGGTTGTCAGCTTCAAAATGGCCAATACCAGCCCATTTCAGCTCACTAATGCCCAAGATACCGATGTTTATGGGTTCCATTTCATTTTTGACAACTTCCAATTTTCCCAGATTCATACTTTGTACAGTCCACGTTCTGATTTTCAATGGATATTTACAGCTGTTTTTCTTCATTTTTAGTTGTGTCCCATCAGAAAATGAAGGTCCCGTGGCTTTTCTCCCACAGGCTTTACTCCATTCATGTCACCATGGTCAACTCTACTTTGAGGAGGCAGCCCTTCCCCAGTGGCAATATGAGTGCCTTCCAACCTGAGAGGTTCATTTTCTGGCACTATGTCTGACAGTGTTTCTCTGCTGTTCATAAGGTTTTCAGTGACTAAATATTTGGAAGTAGTTCGTCACTCTTTCTTCCTAGTCTGTCTTCATCTGGAAGCTCATATGAAACCTGCCCACCATGGGTGACCCTGTTGATATTTAAAATACCTGTGGCATAGCTTTCAGAATCACAGCAACTCACAAGCCACCACAGTACGACAAACTGACAGATGAGTTGTTTTTGTTGTTGTCAAGTGCTGTCAAATCAGTTCTGATTCATAATAACCCTATATGGCTGGTGGGTTTGAATCGCCGACCCCTCGGTTAGCAGTCCAGTGCTTATCCTACAACACCACAACAGAACTCCAATCAGCTTCTTGGTTTTCCTAATCTCTCCCCTCAATGTTATTTCTGGGTTTTGCAGAGACAGCCTATCAGTGAGATTGGGGTGGTGAGCCCTCCTTAGCATAATTGATGTCTCTCTTTCTTTGCAGGTGGATTGCTCAGGTTATGAGATGGAGCAGTTACATACCAAAGTGACCTCACTGTGCAACCGGATAGAGCAGATTCAGTGTTATAGTGCCAAGGACCGCCTGGCTCAGTCAGGTAAGCCTTTCACCTCTCCCCTCTTTTTGCCTACTTACTTCCTGCCTTTATGACTATTCTTGTGTGGTCCATACTCAGTGGTCATTCTGTATTTTTATTTCTGTAGACATGGCTAAACGTATAGCAAACCTGTTACGGGTGGTACTGAGCCTCCAACATGCCCCTGATGCAACCACTGACTCTTCACCAGACCCTCAGCGAGTCCCTTTGCGTCTGCTGGCTCCACACATCGGCAGGCTCCCCATGCCTGAGGACTATGCCTTGGAAGAATTGCGCAGCCTCACACAGTCCTACCTACGAGAACTGACCGTTGGGAGCCAGTGAACTCTAGGTTCTTTCTATCACACTCACCACACAGAGGTCCCTGTATTCAATGGGCTGGGCTGTGGAATCCACCCTCCCTGCCTCCTGCCACAAGCAGCATTCTCCAGTTGTTCAGGGCTTTTCTTGATGATGAATATAGCATAAGGGCTTCTGGAACCCAAAAAAAGGAGCCAAGGGTCCTTTTACCATCCTCAAGACCATTCAAAAAATTTTTTTTCCTTTTTAAAAATGGTGAATAAAGCACCTTTGGCAGAATCCCCCAAAGAACCATAGAATCCTTTTTCTTACCTAGTTATACTGCATCTTGAGAACCTAACCTCCATGTCAACCTGATGTCGTTTCCCTACCCCAACTTTTTTTTTTACACTAGGACTCTTCAAAAGGCGTGGGGCAGAGCATGGCACAATTGGTTGATCTGAGTCTATCCTTAACAGATACGCTCTCCACAATAGGAGGAGAAGAGTCGGCCTCTTTAACAAGGCTTTATAATAAACACTGGGCTTGGGGATCAAAAGAATTGAACTGAGAAGCAGATAAGACTCTTCTGGTAGAAATGAGTGCCTACCATAGAGAGAGAAATCATCAAGGCTTGTTTTGTTCCTGCTCAGAATGTTCCATGTACACCATACCTTCCTTATGTACTGCGGCCCTTGGTCACATATCCCATGTCTCTGGGAACCCAAAGTTCTCAAAATTCTATTTGGTACCTGGTTCTTAGTCACCTTGCTAGGCTCCTGTCTGGATTTGACTGAAGATAAAACATGACAGGTTGGGTCATTCTTCCTACCACACTCCCATTTTAGCCCCAAAGTAATTCCTACCTTCCATCTGCCCTCCCACAAGGTAAAACCATCGATTCAGGCAAGGACTGCGCTTTAGGGGCTAGCAGAGGGCTTATGCTTAACTGCTTCCAGTATGAGAAGTCCCAAGACAGGGACTGAGACAGCAGGTGTGGAGGCTGTCACAGACAACATGGTCATTCTGGATCTTTATGCATGAAGATTATGTAAAGGTTTTTATTAAATATATATATATATATAAATATATATATATAAATAAATGATCTAGATTATTTTCTTCTTTTTTAAAGCTACTTTCTTAAAAAAAATAAAATGAAATGTTTCTAGCATTCCTGGAATTGGCTTTCCCTTTGTATTTTTGAGCCTTCCTGCCCTGAGGATCTTTCTTGTGGTCTTGCTTTAGAGTGTGCAGTCCAAGTTAAACTGAAGAGAGAACAATTTGAAGCTAAACTGAGATACTGACCATACCAAGGGCTATATTTATAAATGCAAATTTATTATGACTGAGAGGGCTGAGACTTTTCATTAATCCTGATTATAGATTTCCAGCTGGAGGACAGGATGGTGGTTAAGTGAAGTGCCATCGAGTCGGTTCTGAATCAGATACGATTTCTGAAACTTTAAATATTTGAGAGAGCAGAAAGTCTTATCTCTCTCCCATAGAGCACTTGGCGGATTCAAACCACAAACCCTTAGGTTCTCTGTCCAGTGCTTATGTGCAGCTGCTGAGTTCCTCTGGAGGAGATAGGGTTATTGTTGTTAAGTGCTGTCGAGTCAGTTCCCACCCATAGTGACCCTGTATAGGGTTTCCAAGGAGCAGCTGGTGAGCTTGAACTGCCAGCCTTGTAGTTCATACAGCTTTGCAGTCTGGCACATTATTAACCCACTAGCGCCACACTAGTACTCCCAGGAGACAGGGTAGGGGTTTCAAATTACACATTGAAATCTACTTAACATTCAAAGTCTTGTTATTATTCCACTCCTAATGCTTGTTTTGCTGCTCCGCGGGAGAAAGATGAGGCTTTCTACTCCCGTAAGGATTTACACCCTCGGAAACCCTGTACAGGGTCGCTATGGGTCGGAACCAACTCGAAGGCACTTAACAACAACAAATGCTTGTTTAAGGAGCTCTGGTAACGTAGTGGTTACAAATCGGGCTGCTAATCTCAAGGTCAGTAGTTAGAAAGTACCAGCTGCTCCGCAGGACAAAGATGAGGCTTTCTGCTCCCGTAAAGATTTACAGCCTCAGAAACCCCGTACAGGGTCGCTAGGAGTAGAAACCAACTCCACGGCACATAAGAACAATACTTTTGTTTGTTTTTAAACCTTGGGTCATCCTTCACTTCTCCTGAGTGTCCTTTGTATAAGGGGAGAATGATCCCTGTTGTTGCCACTACACAAATCGGATGTTATTGAAAGGGAATCAGTTGAACTGAAAATGTGAGCAAATTCTAATCAGGATCAGGCTAGAGCCTTATGGGACATCAAGAAATTTAGGCAGAGAGAGGAGCGTGCGCATGCCCTTTGACTGGGGCTTCCCTTTAATTGAGGACGACGGTTACTCAGATGGAAATATTCCCTCCATTACTGACTCACTGTAGTGTCTGTCATAAACGTTGTTGTTGTTGTGTGCCGTGGAGTCGGTTCTGACCCATAGCGACCCTGAACAGAGTTTCCGAGGCTGTAAATCTTTACGAGAGCAGAAAGCCTCATCTTTCTCCCGCGGAACAGCTGGTAGTTTCAAACTGGCAACCTTGCGGTTCGCAGCCCAATTCATAACCACTACACTACCAGGTATTTACTAAGAATTGTTGACCTACTTTCCTCACCCAGAGGTGGTTAAAGGAAAATTATTACAGAAATTGTTAGCCTATAAAAGTGTTAATTGTGAAAATGAACATTATGCCCTCTTGAGGCAAATTCTATTTATATTTAAAAGTGGGAGGGGACAATAAATAGATTCTTTTTTATCATAGAAACCGTGTTGTATAAAATAGCCTTCCATCAAGGGAACTAATAAAAATTAATCTCTTCTACCTCCCAAGAATCCCATTAACGTTTAAAAAATTTTTCTTTTTTTTAATTTCTCAAAAATATAAAACAAAGGAACTAGTTTTTTTAAAAACAACAGAACTATGGAATCCACAAGTCCATAAAGGTAATACAACATCCAAAATAAATATTTTCTTAGCGAAAATGGGGAGTAATGCCAAGATCAAAGTTAAGAGAAGCCTGGAGAATTAAAAGTTTGGTTGGCCGAACCAAAACCTATAGAATAACTATTCTTTTTACATGTTTTATCCTCTAATTTTTGTTCATTTGTATTTCTAAAAAATTATTCCAGATTTTCAAGTTTAATAACTTTAAATCTCTTACCTATCTCTAGTTTCTAATTCCTAATTGTGTGTATTTGTGTTTTATCTTTTCCTAATTTAGCTAGCTTGTGTGTTTCATTGAGTTTTATTTTTCAAAGAAACACAGACCAATTTCATTATTAGAACTTTTCATTACAATTATTAACTTCTGCTTTAAACATTTATCCTCTAATGCTTCCCTCAGGGTTTTTAAAAATCTTTTACTGTAAAAATGTTCATCTGTTCCAGAGTAGGTAAAATAGTGCAATGATCCCCAAAGTTCAATTAATGTCACAATTTCCCATCTTAATTACCCTTCTTCATACTCCTTCCCACCCCACACTGGTATATTCTAAGATCATCAATTTATCAATATCTGAGCATTTCTAACAGATAAATATATTTTTATACACAGGACAAGACTGTGTCACACCTAACAAAATTGTAATCATTCCTAAATATCAACTAATACCTACTCTGTTTCAGATTTCCCCAATTGTTTCAAAAATAAATGTTTACACAGTTGGTTTGTTTGAATCAGCATGTAAGAGGGTCCATGTTGCATTTGATTGTAAGTCCCTTAATCTGTTAAGAGCCTGGCCCCTCCTATTTTTAATGCCATTTATTTACTGAAGTGTAGCTGATCATTTGTCCTTTAGGATAAAGGGATAGGGACTTTGCATCTGTGGTGCTGTATATATATATATATATATATATATATATGCATATATACATATACATATATGCATATATATATATATATATATAATTTTTTTAAATCACTTTAGAAGACAATGTCTGACCTTTATGTGATGTTAGATTGATGGTTTGGTGCTATCAGCCTGGTTCATCCTCTACAAAGCTTTCCCATCAACCTTTCACCTAATAATAATCATTGTCAAGATTCATTATTTCATTATTGTATATCCCTTACCTTTTTAGATGTGGTGCTCTCATTTTCAAAATAAAAACTTCCATCACAGAGTAAATTAAATTATTGATTTCTTACCCTTTTTTTTTCCTATAATAACTCCTTAAAAGGTACCCACTAATTTTTAGACTTTAAAATTTTTTCAATATAATATCTTTTAACCCCAAACAACTAAATATTTCTTAAGAAATTGTTCAACATTTTTTTCAGTCAAACATGAAACTGGACCCATTCCCAGAGATCAACTTTCAACCAAACAATAAACAGACGTAGTCATGTGTTGAGCTGCTAACCGCAAGGTCAGCAGTTTGAATCTATCAACTACTCCATGGTAGAAAGATGAGGCGTTCTACTCCTCAGAACAATCAATCATACAAAAGCAAAAAGGTAGCATTTGCCCAAAAATGAAGTTCAAAAGGCAGGAAAGAAGGAAAAATGGGCCAATAGGAAATGTGGAACCCAGGAAAGAAGTGGGAAGAATGTTTTTACTTTGAGGGAATTACAACAACTGTCACCAAACACAATGAGTATAAACTGTTGAATGGGAAACTAATTCTGTAAACTTTCACCTAAACCACAATAAAATGTTCAAACTAAAAAGATGCAAGCAGTGTAGGGAGCATGTGGACTGCTGCCAGCAGCCTGTGAGTACTCTTGACAGCATGCACACCCTGCCCTGCCCGGCACAGTGCCGTGGGTGTGCATTCACAGACAAACATGAATGGGTAACAACACAACATGGAACTGCTATAATGGGATTCAGAAATTTTGCAGAAGAGGTTTTGGGAAATGTTTACTGCGGTCTCCTTGAGGTTGGGCAAAAATTTAACAAGAAGAGTTTGGTGCTTTGGAGTGAAAGCTCCTAGTGAACTTTTAGCAGGAAATTAATGATGGTTGTACAGAAAATTCAGGATT